GGGGCCGCGCCGCTTTGGGTCTGGAAGGTGTAAATCGAAACTCCCCGGCCCGCCGGTGCTGGGCGTCGCCGCTCCCGGGGAAGAGGTGGCCGGTCGGGGACGCCCCGCGAGGCCTGCGCGGAGCTCGCACAGGTCATTTGTCGCTGGGGACCCGGCGACGGGAGGTTTTTCGGCTGCGTTCCGCACCCACTTCCCTTTCTTTGACGAGCGCCGCGTTCACCCCCGTGAAGCAAACGTTGGCTGGAGGCGGCGGCGGCGGATCCCACCTGACTCGGGGAAGGCTCTTGCTCTGCCGCCGGACTTTGGAGGGCGGGGTGGTCTAGCCCGCGGTGTCACCGGAATCCAGAGGGCAGACTGTGCCGTCTGGGGAAAACAGCCTCTTGCGCCAGTGGGGTCGGGCGAGGGAATTGTCGTTCGTGCTCTGCCAGGCAGTGTAGGTGCACCAAAGAGGATTTACTTTTTAAAAAAAAGTCTGTCTGCTGTCGGTGGCAGGAAGGGTGTAGCTGGAGGCTCTCTAGGCCTCCTTGAGCGGATTTCTTCCTTGTTAGTGGGTCAAAACCACTTTCTAATACAGCTGCTTAGGAACATACTTCGGATTTTTTTTTTTAAGAGATAGCTTATTTCATGTTATATAACACTGTGTTGTAGGTGTGCAGTCACCGAAATCCATCCTGTATTGAAAAATAGCTGCCGAACAAGCTGGAGAAAAGTTTCCTGTTACTGTCCTGATGTGTATTTCATACCTTTCCTGCGTGCTTTCCTTTGGCTTAAGATCTCCTGTCCACACCCACCCCACCCTGCTGTGGGGTTTTAAAGATTTGTCTGATCTTCTTTCCTACAGGTTTTTTTTTAATGCAAAATAACTTTAAAAATTTCTATTCGGTAGTTAATGTTTGACTTAACATGTGGAGACCAGCCTATTCTCATATTTTTAAACATCAAAAGGCCAACCATTTATTTCCCAAAGTAGCATAAAGTGTTTTTTTTTTTCTTTTTTTTAAACAAGCAATTGATCTAAGTGGTAGGAACCTCTGCATTGTGTTGCAGACATTTTCACTGAAATATTTCTTCCTAAACCAGGCTCCGTCTTTTTCAGTTCATTAGACTTCTCTCCTTTTCAGAAGTTTGGGATGTTTTAATGTTACTATGGGGTATGTTCACACCGACCCACCCCCAGACCTTACCATTAGTAGGTAAACAATCTGCCCCATTTATGAATTTTCTGAATCTCCATCTGTCCTGCTTCCTCTCTCTCAGCCAGCCTCCTTGGACTCCTCAGCACCTCCAGAAGCAGAAGAGATGGAAGTGGATCCAGCCCATGTTTATTATATACTTTTAGCTCTAGCAAGAGTTTGATAGGCAAGGAGGTAGACATTCTAATAGTGTAAGGGAAGCTTGGAACTTATTTGGATTTGAGTTATCTGAGTCCTCATTTACATGAAGCAGAAAGGTGTGTCTGATTTCAGCATTGCATGTCAGAGATATTTGGCAAACTTGATTATGCAGGAGCCTATTATTGTAGTGGGATCTCTATTTTTAAGTAGAAAGAAGGCCAGAGCTAGTTGCTCTGAGAACTCCTTGTTAACATCAGATAACACATTTTATTGTTTCTTGCTGTAATGGGACTTAGGTTAGGCATAAGGCACTACCCTCTCCAGTTATGTGGCTCTGCTGAGTTTTAGTATGCTGAGCTTTGCTCAAGACCATGAACTTTGAGGAAAGCTCAGTTATTCAACAGACATGGACTAAGAGTGTAGCCAGCATGGCCAAAGGCAAAGTGTGTGTGTGTGGGGTGGGGGAAGGAAGGATCACCAACCTCAAGCTGTGTTTTAAAATGTGTACCAAGAATTTTTTTTAAACGATTTATCCTATAAAATCATGATAAATATTCATAATTTCTAAGAAAGTCAGAGTAAGTAACCCAAGTGGCTGTCTTTAAAGAGGAGGCGGAGACTTGAGTTAGGAATTAAGTCTTTCCCTCCAAATTATCTGATTTAGATAGGCCATTTCCTTTTTACACTTGTGGATTTGGGCCTGCAGGAGACCTGACCTGAATCAGCTCCAGAGCCAGGGAGCTAAAAATAGGACACTCTTAGAGGACTTGCTAAAACAGTGTGTCTCAGCCTTTCCCAGTGTTTATCACTACCTTATCCCAAGTAAAGATGAGAAAGCCGTCTAATTCTAGTTTATTTTCATGTATATAATAATTTGCAAAGATAGATATTTATTATATCATTTGAATTCTTCCAGAATGTCCTTAAACTTGCACAGTAATTTATTTTTTAAAATTACCATTTAACCTTGCTTCTCTTGCAGTGATTGGCTTTGTAAATTATCAGTATCCCCCACTTTATGAAAGTTGCTGAGAATTTTGCTTCTGAAACAGCTTTAGGTTGATTTCATGTACTAAAATCTTTATTAAAAGACGAGAAAGCCCAATAGATATGCCCACTATTGTTTTTGATGGAAAATAAGCTTTACTAACTTGTCTGCCACCTGTTACGAGGTAAATGGCTTTAAGATTAGCTCTTTGCTAATGGCAGGAAAGCCGTATCAGATGACACTGATTTATTCATACTAATAATACCTTGATTCATAATAGTTTCTAACATAGCTCCTGTGAAAGAAGTGTTGCTAAATTTCATTTGTTGCATTGGCAAGAAAAAAACGATGATGGTTATCCTACATGTAGACAGTCCTGGTCATGAAAGCTTAGAATATATGAGGGTACTTCTTAATAGTGTCACAGGACAGCAATGAAGGTACACTCAGTTAAGCTGAAAACCGGCTATTATACTGAAAACAAACTCATTGCTAATCTCAACAGGTGCATCTTTGGTGTATCTCTCTGTAATAGCCATCCAGGCAATTGTGCCTGTGATTCTGTGGGTAAAAATGAGCTTTGGCTGTTATCCAAGAGAACTGTAAAATGTGCAGCTGGAGCCTCCCGTTTCCTGAATTTTCACTCACCCTGAACATACAGGGAGAATCACTCAACTGGATCTTTAACACCTTTTTTTTTGAGTCAGGGTCTCACTGTGCAGTGGCACAATCATGGCTCACTGCAACCTCGAACTCCTGGGCTCAAATAATCCTCCTGACTCCTAGAGCTAGGACTGTAGGTGCACACCATCATGCCTAGCTAATTTTTTTTTGAGGAGTTGAGGTCTCATCATATTGCCCAGGCTAGTTTCGAAGTCCTGGGCTCAAGCGATTCTCCCACCTCGGCCTCCCAAAGTGCTGGAATTACAGGCATGAGCCACCACACCTGACCTGGATCTGTAACTTTTAAAGCTACTTTCTATTAATATAAATTCTCAAGAGTCCTTCATAGTAGTTTGAGACATGTTATTTCAAGTGTGTCACTTTTAATTTAGAACCTTGACCCTTTAGGGTACAACGAATACCTTCATTTGAGTTACCTGCTAATCTCCCCTTTAAGCATGGTGAAAATTAGGGGCTAGCTAAATGGTTTCTAAGCATTTGATAAGAAATATGAGTTTGTTTCAATTCAGAGCTTTAGAATTTTGGTAAAAGACCAAGTGTCAGTAAGTTATGTTTTGTTGAACTGGTTGTTTAGTAGAAGAACATAGAGGCTACAAAGTGAGAGGACCTGAATCACACTTGGTAGGTTGGTGCCTTACGATTTGGGGCATAAGAACAAACTGGAAGCCTTTTGGAATGACAACACAACATTTTGTATCATATGTGCTGCCCACTTGAATATTCTTTCTAGTCTTGTAAACTTGATAACCAGGTATTTAAAAATGAGTGCCTTAATTTTTGTGAAGCCATGGTGGACTTAAATTTTTACAAAAAGCCACTAAGGATGTTTGAATTTATTGGGAAGAAGAAATTTTTTATCTTGTAGTTATTTTGGAGGGCTGCACAGAGAAGAAAGTATCTTAAGTTTACAAAGATGTCCTCAAAGGAGTTATTTTAGTGACCTAAAGAAGAAATTCAAATAAGTTCTTTATAAAATGACATCTAGCTTAAGAAGTGTTACTGTTTTTGTCATGTCATCACTGTGCTTAGATAATACAGTGAGAATGAGTAAAGGTCTTGAAATTATAGAAAGGGAAATGGAGGAAAACTTATCTATTGATTTCACACTCATATTTTGGGTGGAAAGAAGGTACTGAGTTGTAATATAAATCAACTTTTAACAAAATACTTGATGGTGTACTGCTTTTTCTTTTTAGGTATTGCACTCTCAGTCTCGCCATGTTGAAGTCAGAATGGCCTGTATTCACTATCTTCGAGAGAACAGAGAGAAATTTGAAGCGGTAATATATAATTTCAGACATGTAATGGTGTCTTGATTTGCATTTACATTTTTGACCTTTAGAAAGTGCTCTGGTAGAAATTTCACAGGTTGGATCTTAATGCAGGTTATGAAAATAACACTTATAAACAAGAACAGTATTTAACTTAAATCGAATTATATTCAGTTATGTTATTTTCTAGGCTTTTTTTTTTTTTTGAGTTGGAGTCTCACTCTGTCACCCAGGCTGGAGTGCTGTGGCTCACGCACGCCACCCCAACGTCAACCTACTGGGCTCTGGCAATACTTCCGCCTCAGCCTTCCAAATAGCTGGAACTACAGGCGCATGCTACCACACCTGGCTAATTTTTTATTTATTGTAGAGACGAGGTCTCACCAAGTAGCCCAGACTGGTCTCGAACCCTCCAGCTCAGGCAATCCACTCGCCTCGGCCTCCCAAAGTGCTGGGATTACAGACTGAATCACCAACCCGGCCTTGTGTTATTCTTTTATTCAGACATTTAGAAAGCTAAATGCTATCTAAGTGTTTAGAATGCTTAGACACTGGACTTAGACTATAGGCTGTAAGGGATGGAAGGATGATCTGGACCTTTGTTTGACATGGTCAGGGAATTGGGCATTGTGGTTAATAGCAGTTTTTGTAATTGGTAACTCCTTGTGAATTAAAAAAGATTAGCACTTTCAGTATAAAAAATATACTGAGCATAAGTAGTGCTGAGCCCCTTAATTTTATCAAAAGGCATTTATGGATTAATTTTCAGAGTTCATTGTGAAATCACATATCAGAACACTATAATTATGTAAGTGGTGATTATCTAATAGTTAATAAGTTGTTGTCTAACAACTTAATATAATTTTCATAGTAGTAGATAGTAGGCTATGAAATAGGATACCACCATGACCTATTTTCATATTATACTCAAAACCTTATAGGATTTTTTAGTTATTGGTTTTATGACCTAGAGTTATGTAACCTGACAACTTTCAATCATATTTTCGCTTATTGACTGGTAGAGAGTATTGACACACTGCAGATAATTAAATTCTAAAACTTAACAAGTTAAAGAGTTCTTAGATTGAATGTGCTCTTGGATTGTTGTTTCCTGTATTCAAGCAAAATATTATTGCCCATAACATTTTTCTGGCCACCATGGCTGAGGATGAACAGTAAATGTATTCCTGGATGAAGAGTTACCTCTTTGATAGGTTTCGAACCTTGTCTTATTAAAAAAAAATAGAGAGAGGCTAGGTAAGAAAGTACTAGATAAGGAAGGAAGAGGAGTGGAGTGGTCTTTAAATATTTTAAGAAATTACATGTGAATTGATGACTATTTTTGGCCTCAGAGCATAATTATGTACTGATAATAATGGACATTGCTGATAATAATAGACATTGCTAACATTGGTTGAGCATTTACTGTGTGCCAGGCATTGTTTTCAGTGGTTTGCATATATTTATTTAGTCTGTATAATCTTATGAGGTATGATCAGAGGCTGAAAGTTCCAGGGGAAAATGTTTGACTTTTCTTTATAATAAAAACCTTCTAGCAGTTTCTGTTGGCCAGGATTAGAAAGGGATGGTATGGGAAGAATAATGCTTTAATACTGACTGTTCATCTGTGGCCTAGATAGATGCTTTCTGCTTAGAAAGGAGTCTCTCAGATAGGATGCAGGCTTGTGTTCGAATTCTGCTTAGATTTCTTCAAACTTTAAATGGTTTTGTGGGTACTTTTTAAAGAATCTGTAAGTAATCATTTAACACAGAACAGTAGCTTCTGATTGGTGGAATGTTTAAAATAAATGTCTCTTATAAATATATTTTGAAACTTAAGACACTTATAAAAAATTTGACACTACACAATCTATAAAAGAATCTTAATCTGAAAAAGAAATCCATGGATACTTTAAAAGACTTTTATAGACTAGTGAATGTACTTTAATGTTTTAAAGTATATTACTTTGCTAAATTACCTGGGACTGTAATTTAAATAAAATTGGATTTGATTGTTCTGATCAATGTCTTTTAGAGCTCTCTCAATTTAGTGTAATTGCTATGAGAGAAACAAAAAAGTTTGGGTTATCAGACAACTTGTGTAAACTCAATTTTTTAATATCAAAATAATAGTGAAGCAAGTGGCATTAGAAAAATCTTGATGTTTCAAAATATCTTTAGCATTATTAGTTCTTAACTCTCTTTTTATACACCTGACCTGAGAGACAGTGAAACTCATATGTCTTATTAGGCCATACTATTTCTTAGCTATTATGTCAGTTTTATTCTCTTCTACATACTGGCCACTACCAAATTAAAGCACTGCTTTCATCATGCCGTTTCTCAGTTCAGACTGTCACCTGCAGTGACCTATAATTGCCTTTCCCATCTAGTTTGAAAGTCCTCCTTGGGCTCATGACCCTCTATAAGCAGGTCCTTGTTTGGGTTCTTGTCCTGCTTAGCTCCCCACCAAGTTGACCTGTAGCTGCTGTCTAACCAACACAGTGTTCTTCCCTCCTTCCTCATGCCACATTGACCCACTCTGAAATATCCACTGCCTGTGTCCATCCAGCCTTGAGTCACTCTTCAAAGAAACCTTTCCTGACATTTTCTTCTTTAAATTCTTTGTGGGTTTACGGTCTTTACTAATGATTGCTGGTGTTTTCATAATTAGATTATATATATATTTCAGTAATACTGATGTATAGCCTAGCTTTGTGTACAAACTCAATAATTCAAAGCGAACATTATTCACACAGTGAAATAGTTAACTGCTGTTTTGACACATTTCTTAGATACATTTTAATAGACTTTATTTTTTGCAGTTTATAGAAGGGTCATTTGAAGAGTATTTAAAGCGTTTGGAAAATCCACAGGTATGCAATAATTTTCTTTTATATTTATGTTTTTCTGTAGCAAGTAATGTATTTAAAATTCATTATAATGAAAGATTAATATCACAGAGTATAGAGGGATTACAGTGACAGTATATCCTATTTTCCTGTAAACATTTTCTGCAGATGTCTTAGGTGTACATTTTATGCCGCATTTAATTGGAAGACAGTGGAGCTGTATACTAGGGGTTGCTTCACTAAGGCAGAGTTGTGCTATCTTTGTCTTTGTCTTAATGGCATGTGAATGTAGCACAAAAGATCTGAAATAACACTGGTGATGATTTTCAGAATGCTGCGTTGGTGTGTGTAAGAGACTTGGACGAGGCAAAGTTGCTTTCTTCCTAGGTAGCTGAGAAGGCAGAGTTCTTTTATGCAGGATCACCTTCCCATGATCAGCCTGTGAAAGAGGAAGGCATGAGGAAGAGGACAGCACTTCCCCACCAACTCCTGCTGCCACACTTTCTCACTCATGCTGTTAAAAGGCTTCTTCTGCTTACAAAACTAATGTTCTCACTGTAAAAATCCAAATATTTTGGAATGCCATTTAGAATGTTAAGATTTCATCTACCATTAAGTTAATAATAACATTGGCAAAGGAACAAGCTAGGAAGAGTTAGGGAGTGAAGGGAGTCTACTGTGGGAACAAGGGTGTTTGATCACTGATTGGTGTATCCATTTGGTTCCCTAACACTAATTTGAGTGCTTGTTATGGGCTAAGAATTGCTAGTCACCCTGGGGATGCAGAGATAAAGGAAATAACCGAAGGGTTTCCCCATTATAGGAAAGAATGCCAAATATGAATTAGAAAAGTATATGTGTCACAAGAGGTATCGTTATGATGCTGTAGGCATTTAAGTTTTATTTCCAGCTGGATGGAAAAATTAGGAGCTTGAGTTCAGTTTGAAGTCGGAATAGATGCTAAATAGGAAATGCCTAGGCTGAAGGGCGTTCCAGGCAGTGTAAATTGAGCAAGGCAGATTCAGAAAACAGTTCAGTTTGTGTAGAGCATGGAGCATGAGGGTGAGAAAGAAGCCTTCAGTGCAGTGCTCAGTAGCTGGAGCTTATGCTTTGGGCTAGCGTTTCTCAAAATTGACATGCTGGTTATGTGTATTAAAACCACATGATAAAGAAAAATGCAGTTTCCTTTGCCCCTATTTTAGACCTGAATCGCGGTCTCTGGGCCTGGGTATTTGGCATTGGGAACCCATGAAAGGTTTTTGATGTGGGCAGTGAGAGTAGTGATTACCACATCTAAATTTATAACTCTAAGCCCCCAACATATTCCCTATCTCTCTTCTCTGCTTTATTTTTCTTTGTAGTGCTTATGCCATTTTTTAAAAAAAATATTTTTTATTTTTGAGTTGGAGTCTCACTCTGTTGCTCAGGCTGGAATGTAGTGGCACGCTCATGGCCATCGCAGCCTCCACCTGCTGGGCTTAAGCGATCCTTCCACTTCGACCTTCCAAGTAGGTGGAACCACAGTCATGCGCCACCATGCCTGGCAAATTTTCTGATATATTGTAGAGTAGAGGTCTTGCCAAGTTGCCCAGGCTGGTCTCGAACCCTTGAACTCAGGCACTCCATTTGTCTCTGCCTCCCAAAGTGGCTGGGATTACCAGTGTGAGCCACTGCACTTATGCCATGTGATATACCGTATATGTTTTTTTCTGGTTTCTACTAGAATTAAGCTCCATGAACAGAATTCTGTCTGTTTTGTTCACTGCTGTGCCGCAGAGTTGAGTTATACCTGCCATTTTGTTGACTGAATGGATAGGTGAAAGAATATTGTGTAACGATAGTTTGAGGTGGGATGAGACCAGAGGCAGGAAAACCCATTTTAAAATTGTTTAACATATGGAAAAATGTATACATCATATTAAGTGTAAAAAGAAATAAGAACAGTGTTATTTCAGTTTTGGAGACAAATAGCTTTTTCTCTGAGCCTACCTGACTCTAGTTTTATGTATTTTCAAAGTTGAGTTTTACCAGTATACTATGATCACAAATTCATTTTCCTAAAGTTTACATATTTATCTCTTAGTTTATAAGCCTCTTTGAAGGCAAGCATCCCGTATTTTCATTGCTTTGGAATCTCCATAGTTACCTTTCAATTTGGGGTGCCTAACTGATGATCAGTTTGTGTGTGAATGAGTAAGTCCACATTGCATTATGTATGACAGATAGGAAAGATGAACATCAAATATTAACAGTTGTTCTCGCCAGGTGCCAGATATTATAGGTGATTTGTTTTTTTACTTCCTTTACAGAAAATATAAGAAATGACAAACGTCATTTATTACTTTGTATCAGAAAAACTCTGCAGTGCTATTTTACAGTAACCTCTGCAGCAGTTCAGGCTACTGGGCTATGAGGGTCTGAGCCAGGAGAGGAGTGGAGAGGAGACTGGGGAAATGGGGCATTGTGAACTGAACTGAGACCAACTTGATTTGGGATCTGAAAGGCTGGTGCTGAAGTTGGTGTGGTTTTGAACACATGGGACAGGTTGTCTGTGCATCCTCATGGTGCCGTTGACCAGGTTTCTTTCTGACAAACAAGACTTACTCTTACAATACCTCTCTCCAGTCTGTCAGACCTCTTCTCCAGATGTTTTAGGTGCCTTCTGAACAGTTGTTCCTTCTTCATTATTAGCAACACTTATAAATCTTCATTGTTACTCTGTTTTTTGCCTCCCTTATATAAGGAGTATATAAAATCAAAACAAACTCAATTGGTGGTTAGTTGATGGATAAACTCACTTGCTTCCTCTAGTTCTTAGAGAAACATCCTTATCCTCTTAAGATAATAACAGAGCATTTTAATGGGAAAATTCCCCAGACTTGAAGAATATATTTTTGTCAGCTTTGTTGAGGTGAAATACAATAAAATTCATCAATTATCAATTTTAAATGTACAGTTTGATGAGATTTGGCAAATGTATCCATGAGCGTAAACACTACCACAAACATCATATAGGACATTTCCATCACTTCACAATTTCCTCATGCCCTTTTGCATTTAATCTCCATCTTCTGGCTCAGGGCAACACTGATTTGCTTTCTAAGGTTTACCTTTTCTAGATGCTTGTAAATGGAATGTTACAGTTTGTAGCCTTATGTGTTTGACTTCTTTTACTTAGCATATTGGAAACACTTTAAAATTCATCCATTTGTTTATCAGTAGTTTTATCCTTTTGATTGCCAGGTGGTCCCTTTATGTGTATGTGTCTATCACAATTTGCGTAACCATTCACCAGATGATTGATACATAGGTCTTTTTTCCAGCTTTGAGCTGTTAAAAATGAAGAAGCTATGAACAGGTTATTATAAATCTTTGTGTGGGCAAATGTTTTCTTTCCTCTTGGATTATGACCAGAGAGTGGAATTGCTGGGTCATGCGGTAAATATATGTTTCACTTAATGACAAACCTGCCAAACTGTTTTCCAAAGTGGCTGTACCATTTTGCTTTCTCATTAGCAATATATGAAAATTTTACTTGCACCACTTCTTTACCAACCCTTCTTGTGATTTTAACTTGCCTTTCTCTAATGATAGTGAGTGTCTTTTTATGTGCTCATTTGCCATCCAGTTAATTTTGTTGATGTAATGTCTGTCACGAATTTTTGCCCATTTTTTATTGCTGTTGGTCTTACTGGATTTTATGGGTTCTTTGTACTGGTTATAAGTCTTGTATTGGGTATCTATTATGCAAATACATTTTTCCAGTTGGTATTTTAGCTTTTCACTTTCTTAACAGTATCTTTTGAAGAGCAAAAACTTAGTGTTGATGACTATTTAAAAATATATTATTATATAATTTTGATATAGTATGGCTTACTTGTTAAAACATATTTTGAGGATATTATTTTCTCTCACCCACAAGAAAGATATATATCAAACGTGAAAAGTGCTGAGTAAATAAAATTATAACCTTAAGGTAGAAGACAATGGTAGTAGAACATCAATTTAAAAATTTAAGAAAAAAAAATTTTAAACTAACACTACCTAGAAAAGATATTTTATGATTTTTTTTTTTTTTTGAGCTGGAGCCTCACTCTGTCGCCCAGACTGGAGTGCAGTGGCCGCTCCTGGCCCACGCAGCCTCGACCTGCTGAGCTCTGGCGATCCTTCCGCCTCAGCCTTCCAAGTAGCCGGAATTACAGGCATGCACTACCACGCCCGGCTGGTTTTTTGATTTATTGTAGAGATGAGGCCTCGCCTGCCCAGGCAGGTCTCGAACCCGCGGGCTCAAACAATCTACTCACCTCAGCCTCCCAAAGGCGCGGGATTATAGGTTAAGCCACCAAGCCCGGCATGATATCTATTTTTTATCTAACCAGACTACAACAATTTATTCTGAAGATTAGTTACAGAAAGTGCATTATTCTCATGTAGCATTTTGTTGACACTGATAGAATTTTCCATTTTTTAAAGTGATATATTTTGCATACATTAGAAATGTAGCTTGTGTGTTTGATCTAAATAAACTCATGTCACCGGAGAATTTTCTCTACACCAGAGGGGTGTCATTTGTAGCAGTTTATGAGAATCATTATTGCTAGACTAAGGCCTATTTTAAGAAGTCTGTTTAAATACATAGTACCTAATTTTTTTTTTTTTTTTTGAGTTGGAGTCTCACTCTGTCGCCCAGACTGGAGTGCAGTGGCCGCTTCCGGCCACCGCAGCCTCGACCTGCTGGGCTCTGGCGATCCTTCCGCCTCAGCCTTCCAAGTAGCTGGAATTACAGGCATGTGCTACCATGCCCGGCTGATTTTTTGATTTATTGTAGAGATGAGGTCTCGCTGCCCAGGCGGGTCTCGAACCCTCGGGCTCAGGCAATCCACTCACCTCAGCCTCCCAAAGGTGCGGGATTACAGGCTGAGCCACCGAGCCCGGCTCTAATTTTTTTTTTTGACAATCAGAACCAACTTTTAAGAGCTTTAAAATGAAAAGATCGTCCTAAGATAAAAACATTGTCTAAAACCTTTTCTTTATTTTTCTTACAAGGAAGAAGTGGCAACTCATTGCTTTTAGTGGTTCTTGATGAATTACATCTTTACTAATTTCACTAGTACTATAGGAATATATTCTTATGGTACAGGATTTTAAAATATAGAGGTTTACAGTTTGAAGAGTAAAAATACTTTATTTTTCTTAATTTTGCCTTCCCTGTCTCTGCTGCCAATTTAGAGTGCATCCTCCCCATCCCCTTTTTATACACACACAGATACATACGAACCAATAAGTATACCTTTTTGTTTTACACAGATAAAGTTATTTTACTACAACTTATTTATTTATTTATTTTTTAGTTGGAGTCTCTGTCGCCCAGGCTGGAGTTCAGTGGCACGCCCACAGCCACCCCAGTGTCAACCTGCTGGACTCTGGCGATCCTTCTATCTCAGCCTTCCAGGTAGCTGGAACTACAGGTGCATGCTACCACGTCCGGCTGATTTTTTTGATTTATTGTAGAGACAAGGTCTCGCCAAGTTGCCCTGGCTGGTCTTGAACCCTCAGGCTCAGGCAGTCCACTCGCCTCAGCCTCCCAAAGTGCTGGGATTACAGGCTTGAGCCACTGTGCCTGGCCTTTTTTTTAAATAGTCTTGAGCGTGATCTTTCCAAGTAATTTCATATGAGTATACCTCATTCTTTTCAGTGATTACATGATCTGTATGGTGGATGAGCCATAAATTATTTTATTATTCCTTAGGAATCTTAGGGCTTTTCTTTTTCTTTTTAACACAGTTACAGATAACTTACCAGCAGTAGATTTGTTTATTGATTATACCTCTGTGTACATAAAAAATATTTCTTTAGGATAGATTTATAGAAGTTGAATTGCTGGGTCGAAGAGTATATGGAAACCGGGCACAGTGGTTCACACCTAATTTAATCCCAGCATTCTGAGAGGTCAAGGTGGGAGAATTGCTTGAACCCAGCAGTTCGAGACCAGACGATGGTGGCAACACAGTGAGAGTTTGTCTCTACAAAAAAAAAAGGTAGCTAGGTGTGGTGGCACATGACTGTAGTCTCAGCTCCCGGGAATTGGGAGGCAGCTAGGGAAGGATTACTTGAGTTTCAGGAGGTCAAGGCTGTGGTGAGCAGTGATTGTGCCACTGCACCCCAGCCTGGGTGACAGAGTAAGAACCTGTCTCAAAAAAGAGTATATGGGCATTTAAAATTTTGAAATGTACTGGCCATTTTTCTTCCAGAAAGGGTTTAAGTGTCTTCCTTAAGGAGTGTAGAATTTCCCTTCAAAACAATAGCTAGTACACGACTCTCTTTTGTGTCTTCATTCACCCCAAAGACAAAAGACTTTCTGCCCTTTTTTTGATACTGCCTGATTTTCTGTTCAACGTTTTATTATCTGTACTTATATTGTGTGCCAAGCTCTGTCCTTCAAGAAGTTCTCCACTTAGATATCACTTAGTGGTCTTGCCACACCAGTAGGAACTGTCATTGTACCCTCTTCCTGTTACTATAGATTTTTGCACAGAGATTTGGACTGCCTTTTATATGTATTATGGCCTGTTTTTATATAAATGTTTTTGATTATAGTCACAATTCTAATAATAACGAGCTTTAAAAACACATGAGGTATGTTGTATAAAGGTACATAAAGAGATATCAAGTGTATTGTAAAAAGTGTGAGACACTTATGTGCCAACTTTTTTTTTTCTCCAATACAGGAATGGGTAGGACAAGTGGAAATAAGTGCCCTTTCTCTTATGTACAGGTAAACACTGTAATAAAATAAGTAAACAAAAATGAAAACAGTTGGAATTAGTATATTTCATTATATTAAAAATGTTAAAATAGCAAAGCTATTTTATACCTTGGTTATGAAATACCTTTTCTGAGGTTTTTAAAAATTGCATCAGTTAGATTTCAACATTTAGATATGTCCGTGCTTAGACACTTTAATTCTCAAAATACGTTTGGAAAAGGTTACAGCGTATTTTTCAGGCTATGTCTGTAATATATAACTTATCAACCTTATAGAGAATTAGCTTACTACTTTCTTTTTTGTTTTTTCTTTATTTTAAAGATGTGGGGTACAATATTTACTCCTTTTTCGGGGCCACTAGCATTGAATGGCTATGGGAACAGAACTGAATTACTCTATTATAGGTTGAATGGCCCTTATGATGTGCTTGGGAACGGAAGTGTTTTGAATTTGGATTTTTTGTTTTACTTTTTAAATATTTGCATTACCCTTACCCAGTTGAACATCCCCTAATTTGAAAATCTGAAATCCAAAATACTCTACTACACCTTCCTTTGAATGTTGTGTTGGCGCTCCAAAAGTTTTGGGTTTCGGAACATTTTGAATTTGGCTTTTTGAATTTGGGATGCCTCTGTTGTGGTCAGTTTTACTGTTTTTGCCTAGTAGAGGAGCAGGTGAATCCTTATTTATCTTTTCAAAATGCCATTTAAATTTTATCTTCACGATTTCTGTGATTTTGGGTCCTCCCTTTAGAACTATATCTGAAGTGCATTCTCTATATATACAATTATAGTTGAAATTTTATATTTTAGAAACTTTACTTTCATATAGATATTTTATGACTTAGTTATTTCATGATTATCTTTTATTTACTGCTTGGAATATTACCTGGCACATATTAGGCCCTTGGGGAATAAATGAATGATTTTTTAAATTTAAATTCATGAAGTATAATTCATTAGAGGTAATTTCTAAATGTTATTTTCAGGAAAGATTTTATAATTTATCGGGAACCAAATGTTTCTCCTTCACAAGTAACTGAAAATAATTTTCCTGAAAAGGTAAGGATTTTTCAGTGTTTGTAAAGGATTTACTTACGAGAACCATTAATTTGCTACCTTGACCTCCTACACTATAACTTTAAATGACTTTTCGAAATATTTCTGTTATAGTATTCTTGAGTTTTTAAAAGTTCCTTTTAATCATCACTTTTTTTTTGTCCCTGTAAACTGCTGTATTGAACCCTTCTTATAACCTTTCAGTAGGGACACAGAATTATGAGACACTAGTGTATCTGATGGTGAAGCTGTTGCTTTTTGACAATATACACATTGAACAGTGAAATACTTATGAAAATAGGTTCTGCCTTGACATCCAGGAATACTTTGATCATATATATTTCCCATTATAAAGACAATTTCACCTGCAGGGGTATGACTGCATTATCTAGTCATAAAGCAGAAACAACTGAAAAATTTCGTGAAGCCTAGAAAGAAAAAAAATACCAACTAATTCATTATAAAATAATTTTGTATTAATTAGCTATGTAGGAATCCTGCAGGCCAAGTTGAAGTGACCTGTGTGTCACCATGCTAATGATGGTAAGGAGCAGGAGAATCAAGTGAAATAAGTTATTAATATTATAATACCACTAAGGGGTTTCTAAGGGATTTTGACCTAGATCTGAAGAGTTTTTGAAGTATAACATATCCCCCCCCCAAAAAAACAATGTGCATATCTCTTTGCATATGTAATGGACAATTTAGATAGTATATATACACACACAATTATATTTGTGTGTGTATAAAGCTGTAAAGCAGAAAAAATTTATCTTTGATTTTGCTTCTTAGGGTATAGCATTAATAAGGTTCTATTATCTTACAGTGTTTTAATTTTCTTTTCTGTAGGTAGTTGAAAACATGTTGGTTGCATACATCGTGTTTGTTTTTTGTGATCCTATAAACATTTCCATGAGTTATTTAGAATGCTTAATGGCTGTCCAGCATTTCAGCATATAGGTGTAACATAGTTTAACAACATTGGAGCTTTATAGTCTAAAGTATTCACTTTCTATTTGGAAATGATCTAGTAACTCAGGCATTGGAGATATATATTGTTTTGTAAATGTCTTATATATAAGGGACTGAAATGTATCTTTTATTTTTCCCTTTCAGGTATTGCTGTGTTTTTCAAATGGAAATCATTATGATATTGTCTACCCCATAAAGTATAAAGATAGCTCTGCTATGTGTCAGTGTAAGTATCACTTTGTGTTTATATAGGAAATTATACAAGGGAGGGACTTCAAAACACCTGGAATTATCTTTAGGAGGGCAGGGCCTTTGTAGTACAGGCTTCCCCCTCTAGCTAAGTGTTCTAGGAACCCATTAGCATTAGTGTACCAGCTAGCATTGCTGTGAGAGACTGCGCTTGGCTTCAGTGGATTTTCTTTTGGAGATTGCATAGTGTTTGCCCATTTCATGATGGGTGATTTACGAACACACCTCCCAGCACCGCATTGAATGTTCAGCAGTTTCTGACCACAGATGGCATGACCCCGTGCCCCACCCTCTTTATTCTCTGATCTCTCCCCAAGAGACTTTTCTTCATTTGCCTGAATGAAATAAGTTCTCAAAGGGAAACATTTTGCTAATGTGGAAGAGGTGAAATAAAAAACATCAGAAGCACTAAAAGGCTTCAAAATTGATGAGTTCAAAAACCGTTTTGAGCAATGGAAAATAAGTCTTGATAGGTGTATTACATCAAACATAGAGTACTTTGAAGGTGATTGAAATTTAAACATTTAAGAATAAATACACAATTTTTTATAAATAAATTCTGGGATTTTTTTGAGTCCCCCTTCTATTTCTAAACTATGCAGCCTTTATGTAAACACATCAGGATACATAATTTTGTTCCATTGTAATACAAAAGATATTTCTAAAAATTTGGAGGTTACAAAGAATATTACTATTATAATAAAAACTTGTTTAAGTAGGATACAAAGGGAGCTTGTGGCTAAGAGTTTGATATGTAAACACCAAGTTATTTTTTTTCCTGCAGTAATTTCAGTAATACAGATTTATGTATTTTTACAACTGTTGGTGTATAGCTTGAAAATCCAAATGACTGAGCAAATCAAGCATTTGACTGCATTTGGCTCTATAGCAGGGTTTCAAACCCTGGCACTACTACCATTTTAGGTTAGATAAGTCTGTTTTGAGGGCTTTCCTGTGCACTGCAGAATGTTTGGTAGCGTCCCTGTCATCTGTCTAATAGATGCCAGTAACTCACTGTCTCCTATTGTAGCAACCAAAAATATCTTCAGCTTTTACCAAATGTTTCCTGGACATATGAATTTCTCCTCCCCTCTTCCATTTGAGAATTGTTGCTCTAGAAGAGCAGTGACCCTTCCTATATTATCTTTTTTTTATCATTTGTTCTTACAAAGTACTAATCACTCATACAGTGCAGTGATGCTGGGCATGTAACAACTTTTTCTTCTTAAGATGGTGGTAACTGGTAAAGTTATGTGTAATACAGTACTGATTGATTGAGTCGAGGTCTCTTGCCCAGGCTGGAGTGCAGTGGCATTATCACGGCTCACCACAGCCTTGACCACCTGGCCTCAGGCTATATCCTTTTGCCTCAGCTTTTTGGGTAGCTGAGACTACAGGTGTGCACCATCATGCCTAGCTAACTTTTTTGCTTTTTGGAGAGACAGGTCTCACTATATTGCCTAGGCTGATCTTAAACTCCTGGGCTCAAGCCTTCCTTCTGCCTTGGCCTCCCAAAGTGCTGGGATTACAGGTATGAGCCATTGCACCTGGCCTACTATATTTTTAAAAAAGTAATTGATCCATTTTAAAATATGAAAGTCTAGCTGTCTGTACCCTAGATTGTGTCTTCCCCTCCCCTTAGCTAGTCAAAATCTGGACATTATAGTTTTGGGAAGGATAGTTTCTAGAGCCTGCCTTTCGTGCTTGTGATTTGGAGATATGAGGAGTTCAACTCCTTTTACTAGAATCTGGTAGAAAGGCACTCTATGAGAAAGAGGTTTCTGGTAACTCATTTAGAGGGTGGGTAACATTGTTGATGAATTCTTCAAACATTTGTTTTCTTAAAGCTCACTGTAATAAAACCAAATGAGAGTCCTAAAATCTATGTGTTTTTAATTTTTCTTAAAATATATTTCCCTGTTTTCAGGACTGGAGTTTTAAAATTTTATTTTATTTAAAGCAACAAAGTTGTCTAAATATGCTTCTTCCTTTCAGTGGCTGCTGAGAATACATTTTGTAACAGTTTCTTTTTAGTTCCCTATGTAAAATAAAAATCTGGAGCTAGGTTATGTAGTCAAACATCCTCTTGTTCCATAGAACCTGAGAAATGCCTTGTCCAAGGTTACAGTAAGTGGGAAGGCTAAACTAGCATCCAAGTCTTGACTTGTCAGCTAGTATACACTAGACTATATTCCTCTTTTTAGCAATCTTATTGTTTCTCAGTGTTTTCCATCCAAGTTTCTTAAGGTTGGGCATGTGGTATGACATCCTTAAGTCCTGGTTTCCTCGTCTGTACTATCAGAATAATACTTCACTGTGCTGGAATTAAATATAAAGGCTGAGCACAGTGTGTGGAATGTAGTAATTGCTTAATATGTGTGTTTTAGCTTTTCCTATTGTCATGTGTTTCACAATCGTGATACCTTTTGGTGGTGGTGTTAGTTTTAAAAATGGCAGTGTCTTTTGCAACGATTTCAAACTACTTCACTGTATAGACAGAAATTTTAGTTGCACTTTAGCAACTGATTCAATTCTGATTAAATTGTGTACTGACCATAAGATGTTGCAAGTAACCTAGTTAGGATTTTATAAGCCTGAGTGATAGTCACATTTTTATGCTTTGTTGCTGTTTTAAAAAAACAGACTGTAGTTAATGTTGCATAAAATCTGTAATTAATTGCAGCTCTCCTTTATGAATTGCTGTATGAGAAGGTATTTAAAACTGATGTCAGTAAAATCGTGATGGGACTAGATACCTCGGAAGTAGCTGATGAAGACAAGAATGAAATATCAGATTCAGAGGATGACAGTTGCAAGTAAGAATGAAATCATAAAATATCTTTCTAGTGCCATACAAAAAAACATTTCAGTAAATGTCTTTGTATAAAATATATTGAAGTATTAATGATATTCATAAAATACAGCAATCTGCAATTGAAGTTTCTTTACTCCTGCCACTAATTTTACCTACTTTATGTTATGGGGCTGTTTCCTTTGAAAAAGTTGCTCTTTTGTGTTGATGAGAATCCATGTCTCTGTAATATAGCTGCATATCTGTAGAATAGTTTTGGTCCTACTAATAATGTGCATGTGTATTGTAAAAAATTTAAAGTAAACCTATCAATTGTTAATATATTCAGTGATGAAAACAATGGCTATTTTCATTTCTTTTACGTTATTTTTTTCTTCCTTGAATAGTGCCTCTTTTTAGACAATGAAAGTCCCAAGTTTGGGTTATAAGTATGTGAACAGCTCTGTATAATGCCTCTGTGTAGATTGTTAGTAAATACTCTTTATCGTAGTCTTTGAGGCTTATCTTTTTCACACAAGAAATACAGGATAGTGGCTAAGAGATTGGGTTCTGGTTTCAGTCCTGGCTTTCTGCTGACTGACTAGACTTGAAGCGAGTTACTTAAATTCTCTAAGAAGCCTCAATTCTGTAGCAGTAAAATGAGGATATATTAGTATTTCTTCAAAAGAAAGATTGATGAGAATTAAATAAGCTAGCATGTGAAGTGCATATCTGGATTCCTAGATATAGTATCCAACATATATTAATTGTTATCAGTAATATTAAGAAGTTTGGTTTACCTTTTGTGAGATTTAACCCTGTAGTATTCTGATTGAATCTAACAGTATATTCTTATTCTAGCTAGAGATAGAAATAGAACTTGAGCCTTAGGATATCTAATTCTTTATTACAAAAAGACACACACACACACACACACACACATATATATTTTTTTTTTTTCTTGGAGGCAGAGTCTCACTTTGTTACCCATACTGGAGTGCAGTAGCATGCTCATGGCCTCCACAGCCTAGACATGCCGGGCTCAGGCGATCTTCCACCTCAGCCTTCCAAGTAGCTGGAACTATAGGCATACTGCACCACACCCAGCTAATTTTTATTTTATTTTATTTTTTATTGTAGAGGTGAGGTCTCACCAAGTTGCCCAGGCTGGCTTGAACCCCTGAGCTCAGGCAATCCTTTTGCCTCAGCCTCCCAAAATGCTGGGATTATAGGCTTGAGCCACTGTACCCGGCCATGTATATCTCTTGATTTGTAATTCCAGGCATTTGTTGAATCAAAATATCCTGATACTGGATATCTGGATTCCTAGATATTTTGACTTTGACTGCCATTTATTTCCAACTTAAGCCAGTATCTGCCATTGTAAATTTAAATCTAGAGTAGACTAATTAACTTTGCACAGATCGAAATTTTGCACCATGGTTCTCTCTAGGCACCTATCTGATTAAGACATGTTATTGAGCTCGGGAAGTTGAATGATGACTAATTTGTTACAACTTACTGCCTGTGACTGGGTTACTGCTTCTGTTAGTAGTATTAGAAACAATTGGGTCTGGTGTGGCACTTGGCAGGTGAAGTGCAGAGTAGAGACTAGTAAGCAGGAGAGGTTTACCAGGGAGGATGGAACACACGTGAGAAAATTTGCTCGCTATTGTGTTCAGTTTTTCTTTTTGTACTCTACTATTACAGTCTTTGGAATATGGATTACCTTCTTGTTGCATTATTAAACTTCCTTTCTACTTGCTCATGTCTGACCTTGGGAGGACAGAATGTGAGTTAGGGAAGAATAATGCTGTTTAATAGCCATGGCGAGATGGATAGGTATAGTGTGGTCCTAAGAAGGGAAGACCAAGGATGTACTGCTATACTCTTGTGCCTCATTTCTTTTCACATGCATACTTGTTAATCCTGAAATACTGGAAATTATGAGTGATTTTCTAGTCTAGACTCTAGACACTTGGTGTCTCTTAAATATTACTGTGTTTAAGGGTGTAGACTTGGAGATTGTTCTGAAAACTAGACTTTATTTATTTATTTATTTATTTTTGAGTTAGAGTCTTACTCGGTCGCCCAGACTGGAGTGCAGTGGCTGCTCCCGGCCACCGCAGCCTCAAGGATCGGCCACTGGCGATCCTTCCACCTCAGTCTTCCAAGTAGCTGGAACTACAGGCATGTGCTACGACGCCTGACTAATTTTTTGATTTATTGTGGAGATGAGGTCTCGCCAAATTGCCCAGGCGGGTCTTGAACCCACGGGCTCAGGCAATCCACTCACCTCAGCCTCCCAAAGCGTGGGATTACAGGCTGAGCCAGCGAACCCGGCTTAGAAATTATTTATTAAGGAGGATTTGTAGGACAGAAGAGTTACATTTAGGTGCAAGTCAGAGCCTCTCTCGCCACATCTTTCCTTGTCCCCGTTGTCACTGTTTCAGCCTCACCAGCCTTTTGGCCCTGTCTGGGTCTTTCTGTGTGCTGTTCTCTGCCTGAATTAATAAAGAGCCATATAGTTTGCTGTCTTACCACCTTTCTTTATTCAAGAAGACATCTTAGCAAGGCCTTTCTTCATTCTGCTTTTTATTTGAGGCTACATTTCAACACTTACTTTTTCCTACCTTTTTTTCCTTCATAATGCTTATCAGTATTTTACATATTGATTATTTAGTTTGAATCTATTCTCACTAGATTTTACATCTCATGTGGGCAGTTTTTGTCTGTTTTATTCATTGATAGACTCTAGCACCTAATAATATGGTCACTCCTCATTATACTAGGGAAATTGGTATAATGGGGACCCTTGAATATATAAAAATCTATGTCTATTTGTTCCCCAGTGGGTCCTGTGAACCTGCTTATACAAAAAACCCTCCTTGTACTTGGGTTTTAGATCCCATGAATACTGTATTTTTGATCTGCTTTTAGTTGAAAAAAATCTGTGTGTAAGTGGCCCCATGCAGTTCAGACCCATGTTGTTCAAGGGCCAACTGTATATAGTGCCTGGCACGTCATAGGCACTCACATATTTGTTGAGTGAATGATTGTAAAATGTGTAGGAGTGTGTGCTACAATGAATTCAAAGGGCTGATGATGGTTCTTTCATTGTGTTGAAGATTATTTGATGTAGAATGTTTTTAGTAAAAGGGTTGGTTGTTGAATTCTCCTGTAGATGTTTTTATATAGTGGATATTTTTTAAAATGGAGCCTTACCTGTATACTAAAAGGAAATTTTTGCATTTAGTACTTTGTAAATACCATTATTCTACTCACTCAAATTTCACTGTTTATTTCTACTTCTGTTTTCATGTTGGTTATTGAGCCAGTAAGAAGTACTAGTAAGTCTTTGACTTCTATCTTATATATACGCCCACATATACGTAAACACTTTTTTTATATATGTACTTTTATACTAAAACTTGTATGAGCTCATTGGAGTGTAGCTCTGACTTTTAAGATTTTTAGATGCAGCTAGAAGTTAATTACTTGTCAGTACATTTTTCTGTTGCTAATTATGGTTATGTTTCTTCCTTCATAGGAGTAAAACTACTGCTAATGATGTGAATGGATTTAAACCTTTGTCAGGAGACGAGGTATTTTTTTTTTAAGTGGTTTTAGCTAGTTCTTCAATATAAGAAAGAATGAATTTAAAATCTTAATTTTTAAAGTTTTTTTCTGGTATATTCTCAGTAGAATCAAGATCACCTGCAAGGAAATGTATTTGGTGATTTCCTAATTTTTTGAAGTTTCTTCATTTGATTTTAACACTTATACATATCTAAAACAAAAGTGTTTTAAAAGCATTTTTATGTTGATTGGACTTCCTAACTTTCTTTGTTTAGCACTCCAAGAACAATGGGAACTCTACTGGCCTTCCTTTGTCTAGAAAGGTCCTTAAGTCCCTTAATCCAGCAGTCTATAGAAATGTGGAATATGAAATTTGGCTGAAGTCTAAACAAGGTGAGTTAAAAATCTGCATTTTTCCATACATTTGCTTTGTGGCACTTGAAAATAATTAAGTCAACTTTATATTATTCTGTTTGTTTTTTAACAGCTCAACAAAAACGTGATTATTCCATTGCTGCTGGCTTACAATATGAAATTGGAAATAAATGTCAAGTAAGTGATTTGTATAAAAGAGGAAAAGATGTTACATGAAATCTTGCTTTTTCTGTTCTTTTTTTTTTCTTGAGTAGGAGTCTCACTCTGTCACCCAGGCTGGAGTGCAGTGGCATACTCACGGCCACCTCAGCCTCAACCAGCTGGGCTCAGATGATCTTTTTTTTTTTTTTTTTTTTTTGAGTTGGAGTCTCACTCTGTCGCCCAGACTGGAGTGCAGTGGCCGCTCCCGGCCACCGCAGCCTCGACCTGCTGGGCTCGGGCGATCCTTCCGCCTCAGCCTTCTGAGTAGCTGGAATTACAGGCATGCGCTGCCATGCCCGGCTGATTTTTTGATTTATTGTAAAGATGAGGTCTCGCTGCCCAGGCGGGTCTCGAACCCGCGGGCTCAGGCAATCCACTCACCTCGGCCTCCCAAAGGCGCGGGATTACAGGCTGAGCCACCTAGCCCGGCTGATCTTTTTTTTTTTTTTGAGTTGAAGTCTCACTCTGTCGCCCAGACTGGAGTGCAGTGGCTGCTCCCAGCCACCGCAGCCTCGACCTGCTGGGCTCCGGCGATCCTTCTGCCTCAGCCTTTCAAGTAGCTGGAACTATAGGTGCGTGCTACCACACCTGGCTAATTTTTTGATTTATTGTAGAGATGAGGTCTCACCAGGTTGCCCAGGTGGGTCTTGAACCCATGAGCTCAGGCAATCCACTCACCTCAGCCTCCCAAGGCACGGAATTACAGTTAGATGACCTTTTTGCCTCAGTCTTCCAAGTAGTTGGAACTACAGGCGTGTCCTACCACACCCAACGAGAAATCTTGCTTTTTCTAGTAGGAACCAAGAAAATGGTTGAGGTTTGAATGTGTGGTTAATTCGATAGCCATGAATACATTTATCTTGTACACATTTTAATAGTTTACAAATATTTAACTTTTTGGCTCACTTGAATACCTTGCTAAAATTGTAAGTATCTAAAACCATGGCATCCCCTTACATGATCTTTAAAAACAATTCAGCTTCTGGTATTACTTGCTTGAAAGAAGTAACAATAACATTTTAGATATTTAGGTATTTTTATCACAATTGAGAAATAATTTACTGAAATTGATTAAAAATTGACCTTATAGTTCGTTTTGTTTGTGAAAGTCATCCTGAAAGTTTTTGATGCATACATAGTGTTTTATTATTGGATTGAGGAAGGAAAGGGAACCAGAGAGGGATTTTACCTTTTTTTTTTTTTTTTTTTTTTTTTAGTAAGAGACTGCCTTGGACTTGAGTAGCTGCTTAAAGGGAAAAGTTAGATTAGATCAGTGTTTCTCAGCCCTGTGTGATTTTGCGCCCCATCCCCCAGGGGATATTTAGTGATGTCTGGAAATTTTTTTTTTATTGTCTCAACTGGGAGAGTACTTACATCTAGAGAGTAGAGACCAAAGATGTGGCCAAACATCCTAGAATGCACAGGACAGCTTTCCCTCTCCATCTCCCCAATAAAGTGTCAGTAGTGCTTAGGCAGGAGAAACCCTGGGTAAGATAATTTACAAGGTCCTTTTTCTGTTCTTTATTTATGAAAAAATGCTGCTATTTCAAAAACAAAAGCCCCACATATACAAAAAATATTATGTGCAGGTTAATTTTCGTCAGAAATGATTTCCATCAAAAAGTGTTGCCTTTTAAGGAACACTAAACAGCCATTGGCAAATATTTCTTTTTGTCTTTGGGAGGAAACACTCAATTACTTTATGATAAATTGGTTTACATGAAAAGTATCTTATTGAGTAGAGTTAAACTGGGGACATCAGTGGTAGATTTTACCTTACAAATCCTTAGTAATTCTGATTTTGGGGCATATTTAAAGGTGAGAAAAAGGAGATATGATTCATTCAGGTGCTTCCTACAGGATTGTCAGAAATCTGCTCTAATTGTAGAATGGAGTTTTGGAAGCTTTTACTACACTGACTGGGAAAACTTGAAAGAGAGCAAAAGAGAAGAGTAAATCCAGAACTTAGAGGCCTCCCTCCCCACCTCTCTCACAGAGAAGAGAAGATTGCTTCTCTTATGCTGTATCACTAAAATTATGTTATATCTTACTTAAATCAAGCCTATTTCCTTTGAAGTTGAAATTGCTTTTGGTAAATAGATTCTGTTGATTAAACAGATGATAAAGCACTTGTAGTTTTTACTTTTTAGAGTATTTATTTCTCTTTCTACTACTTGACCATTTTATTTGGATAAAAACCTAATTGAACTCTTAAGAAACTGAAATGACTCAAAGGTGCCTTTTATTTACTCAAGTAAATGTGTAAGATAGTTTAAACTTTTGATAAAAACTCAGTTCAGAAAAAACTTATTGTGAAAAAACTTATTGAAGGCAAAATATTCTACTGTAATTGATGAAGAGTGAAACTTCTGCTTGAGGACTTTGATTTATTGATAAAATTTGGAGGTTGCTTAAAGCAGTGCCCTATATGTGTATTTTCTAGTGCAGTGGCTGGCACAATTCAGTGTGTGCATTTGATTATAGGAAGAAACCTTAAGGCTTTTTCTTTTGTCACAATTTACAATTGGGTAATACTAATTATATTTTAGGGAAGAGTTGATGAATCTATTTTTAGGGAGAAAAAAGGTCACAGTGACACATTTTTAATACCAGAAAAATGGGATGATAGTAGCACTAACAATAGTAATAGTAAACAAAAGTTGCTGTCATTTGTAGAGTGCTTGCCGTGTACATGTTGGTGTTCTTTAGTGTATCATGTACCCTCATTCCATCTCCATGAGTTCTATAATGTAGGTACTGTTATTAGCTCCGTTTTGCATATGAGGAAACTGAAGCGAGAGGTAAGTGACTTGCCCAACTTGCCCAAGGTTGTATTGCTGGTAAGTGGAAAGCAAGGCAGGGATGCCTGAGGTGTATGGAGCCATAGTCCTGTATTCAGAACCAGGGCATGCTGCTTCTCTTATTTGGAGCATTAATAGGTTGTGCTTCTACTTCTCCTCGAACTATTGAGAAAAACAATGTAGAAAACATTCGGAAGGACAAAGAAGAAAAGTTTTGCTCTTTTAGGTAGTGTTATGGAGGCCTGAGAAGTTAAGGGCATGGATTTGATTGTATGTCTTTTTGGATATATTTTATTTTTACCGATGAACTTTGTTTTCTTTTTAATTGAAGACTAAAATTTGAAAACTGATGATCAGTGCCAAGGAAGCAGATGACTAATTTTTATTTCTGGAATTGTCCAACAGGTTAGGTTGGATCACAATGGAAAATTTTCTAATGCAGACATTCAAGGGGTTCACTCTGAAAATGGACCAGTTTTGGCTGAAGAACTGGGAAAAAAGTATGTACTGCTCTTCATCTAAGACATTTACTGCCTATTCCAGTTAGTCTAATGTAAACATGAACGTTTTAAAATGGCCCTGTGCATTTGCAAATTCAGTGAAAGGTCATGCTCATGTATAGAAAGTATTTGTTTAGATCTTTAGAAAAGTACTAAATGTGCCATTGTTCACAAAGGAAATTTGGGAAATTGACTAGATTGTAAGTCCTTTGGAGAACAGGGATTCACTTCTAATTTCATTCCATGTTGCATTGCATGTAGTTAGTATTCAGTAATGTTGGTCAAATGGAATAGTAAAATATTATTAACTTGCTTTAATTCAGTGTTATTTTAGGGCACCTTTTGTTTTAGTTACTGCTGCCTTTATTAGAGAAAAACTAGTAATTCACACCTTTAAACTTTACTGTGGAACATTTTAAACATACACAAATATAAGGAGAATAGTAAAGTGAACTCCAGCTTTCGGCAATCTTTTCTCATCTATTCTTTCTAATTCTTTTTTTTTTTAATGAGAAGGAAATTGGCATATTTTGAAGGCAATTCAGATATCATACCATGTCGCCAGTAGATACTTAAAGAATTCTAAAAGAGTATAAGGACCTTCCTGTCCACCTTAACTACAGTACCATTATCATGTCTAACAGATTAGGTCATTTCTTATTTAGTCTTTTGCTTAGATTGTGATTAAGATTGCTTAGATTGCTAAGATTGTGATTCTTTTTAAGTTAGAAAATATGCTTTTGATTTATGTCTTTGATTAGAATAAATATATCTAGATTGCTAAATCCTGTTTGTACTTATTTGTTTTTAATGTAAAAACTCAAGCTTCAAATTCAAAATAAGTTGAAAATAAAATATATAGAATATTTGTTTAATTGCACATACTAGGAGTATTTTAAGTTATTACAAGTCTTTTTCTTCCTTTTGAAGGCATGTATCAAAGAACCTCAAAGCAGCTCCTCAAGAAAGCTGGAACACAGTGTCCGGGAAGAAGATGAAAAAACCTTCCACTTCTGGACAAAATTTCCATTCTGGTAGGAGCATAGCAAGTCATCATTTTTTTGGGATAGGGATGATGGTACTTGGGATTGTTTATAATAGGAAGATTGTGAGGTATTTTTGGGTTCTTGTCACAGACATGGATTACAGAGGGCCAAAGAATTCAAGCAAGCCAACAAAAGCCCCATCAGCACTACCTCCTCGACTGCAGCAGCCTTCGGGAGTAAGACAACACTCATTCTCTAGTCATTCTTCAGGGTCACAGTCTCAGAAATCCTCCAGTGAGCACAAAAATCTTAGCAGGACACCCTCACAGATTATAAGGTAACCTTCATGAATGCAAGAGAAGTAGAAATCAAGTGAGATGCGTTTGTTGTATTTGCTACATTATGTGTATTCTGATAGTTACATCTTTTTACTCATATGCGTGTCTATATCATACTATTAAAAGTATTGTTGATAAAATACCACGTGAGGATTTCGGTTCTTATAATTCATAAGCAAAGAACAGTGATAGAAGGATTCCTTTACTTTTGAATAGATTTTTCAAATGATTTGGGAGATTTTATAGCCAGATCTTATTCTGGCACTTAGTAGTTTTCTGATGACCTGCAATATGATTAAATACTGGATTTAAGGCCAGGTGTGGTGACTCAAGCCTGTAATCCCAGCACTTTGGGAGACTGAGGTGAGATTGCCTGAGCCCACGGGTTTGAGAACAGCCTGGGCAACTTGGTGAGACCTCATCTCTACAATAAATCAAAAAATTAGCCGGGTGTGGTAGCATGCACCTGTAGTTCTGGCTACTTGGAAGACTGAGGCAGAAGGATCACCTGAGCCCAGCAGGTCGATGCTAGGATGGCTGTGAGCATGCCACTGCACTTTAGCCTGGGTGGCAGAGTGAGACTCCAACTCAAAAAAACAACAACAACTGGATTTTAAGTTGCAATCCTAATTCCTTGGAAGGTGAGGATGCTCCCGTTTGTGCTGGAACGTAAATCGATCAAAATTATTAGTTTACTTTGTTCTGATGAGTTTTATTTGTCGTGATATCTTTAATACTGAATGGAGCTACAAACTTTAGGTCAATTATGGATGTCAGCATTCTGACTAAATACCTAGAGATAGATAAACTTCAAAGTCATGATTCTTGTGCTATGTGACTTAATTTTTCCCTAGTCCTGTCTGCTGAGTACTTTACAACCCTTTGGAGGAACTTTATTTGAGAGGATGTCTCTTAATTTAAGACTGTTCTCATCATGTAAACATGATCATGTCTCCTGTGGGTGCTGGGACTTTCCTAGGCCACTATGACCGATGTCTTTCCCATCTAGTGCCTTCTTATTTGCCTGAAGAGTTGTAGCATTAGCTTTTGTGCTTGCTAGCCTCAGGTCTTTAGTTCCTTTATTTCTAGCATTTGGGCAACTTTCTTGGGAATGCACTTAACGTTCTGTCATTAAAGATGTTTTTTGTAGCATCTTCGAGACAGAGTTGTAGCTTCTTTGACATTTATCAATACTGTATTAGTTTCTTGAGGCTGTTGTAGCAAGGTATCACAAACTGGTCAGCTTAAAATGATAGAAATCTTTTCACAGTTTTGGAACTGAGAAACCAGAAATCAAGTTGCCACCAGAGCTGTGCTCTTTCTGAAGTCTCTAGGGGAGTCTCTGTTTCATGCCTCTCCTACTTCTAGGGTTTACTGCGATTCTTGGTTCCTTGAGTTGTAGCTGTGTCATTCCAGTTTATGCTTCTATCATCATATGGCTGTTTTCCCCATGTGTCCATGTCTTTTCTGATAAGGCCACTAGTCATCAGATTACGGCCTCCGCTGTTCCAGTATGACCCCATCTTAACTTGATTAAATCTGAAAACATTTCTGAAAACATTCTACTTCTGAAGAAAGTCTCACGCACAGGTACCAGGGGTAGATTACTTGAATATATCTTTTTGGAAAATACAATTAATTCAGCTCATAACAAATACTAATGGTTTTAATCCATTACATTTTTCATTTAAAAAGTTATTTAGGATGGGAAATTAGTTGATATTGTTTAAAATTCAGAAATCTTAGCAGGTTTTTAATTCTATGGAAAGTCTCCTTCCTATTCGTTTCTTCCCATTGATCTAGTTTGCTTCTGCAGAGGCATCCAGTATTAACAGACTTGTGTATCCCTCCAGGGAATTTTTGTATATGTGTAAGAAAGACATGTATAGTCATAACCTAATTTCTCTGATGTTCTAATGAGAACGAATGATAAACATCATTTGGAGGGAAAACGTGCCTCATCCCTCAAGGTTGCTCACTGCAAACACAAGAATTTGTGGACCCACAGAGGGTTACCTCTCAAACAGAATTTGTGCCACTAGTCAACTAGTTGTTGCTGGAGTTTGTTGTTTGGACATGGACCAAGCTCTGCTAGCACCTGGTGGTAGCTTACCCAATGCATTAAATGTATCTAAGATATTAACATTTTGAATATTAACTTTGGAATCCTAAAAATATAAAATAACTATAGAATGAATAGTCATAGGCAGGAATTAGTTGTTTGTTTATGTAATTCTCATTTTTTGGTAGACTAGAAAAGAAGCATTCTTTTTCCCTTAAACACAAGGGTACTCTTTAGTAATTTAAAGATTAAAAAAGAAAATGCATGTAGACTACAAAATGAATAATTTAAGCAAAGTTGTTGGTCAGAAACTGCATTTATATCCAGTGTTTTTGGTGGTGACTCTTGATTTTTTATGAATTGGTAAAATGCTTAGACAGATGTCATATATCAACAATACTTTTAATCAATAGTACTTTTAATATTCTGCTGTAGAGAAGCATATCTGTATCTTATTAGTATTGTTTTTTCTTTTATATGTTAGTTATCTATTACTTGCTTTATAAAAACACTTGATGCATTAGGGGGGCCCAAAAGAAACCAGAATTATCTTTTAGAAGCAGGCCCCTTGTGGTACACTTGGAATTTGTTCCTCTGGATCAAACAGTCAAACAGAGTTTTTATCTGGAAGTTTTGAAAAAGGTTGTGTCATAATTTGCGGAAGAAACATCCCAAGTTGTGACGACTACTTCCACCATGACGATGCACCTGCCCACATCATGCTGAGTGTTCAGCAATTTTTGACCAAAAATTGCATGACACCCACACCTCACCCTCCCTCTTCACCCATTCTCACCCCAAGCAACTCTTTTATGTTTCCCTGGATGAAAAAAGTCCTCAAAGGGAAACATTTTGCTGATGTGGAAGAGATGAAACAAAAAACTGCAGAATCACTAAAAGGCATCAAAATTGATGAGCTAAAGAACTCTTGAGCAGTGGGGAAAGTGTCTCAGTAGGTGTCTTGCAACAAACGAAGAGTACTTTGAAGGTGACTGATGTTTGAACATGTAAGAATAATACAACATTTTAAATAAATCTTTTCTGGTTTTTTTGGGAGTTCCCCCTCATATGTGACAAGGTAGCGGGTAATGTATAGATGGTGATTTTTTTGACAGTGTTACAAATTACATAGGAACCTAGCGATATTTGCAGTTAGTCGTAGGTTAGTATACCTTCTGTGTTATGTGTGTGCGAGTGAATTTTACTAGCGTATTAAATTTTAAAACTGTCCATTAAATATTTAAAATAAGGTTTAATTTTATAGCTAACAGTCCAATTGATTTAAGCCTATTAAAGTTCATCTTAACTTTATTTTTAATATTCAACACATCAGTTTTGAAGAACCAAAAACTGTAATACTGGTTATGAGAAATTCATGGCCTCTCTTCACTTTTTCCTCATTAATATTGTCTCTTCCTTTGGAGAAAACAAAACAAATATAACCAAAAAAAAATAAGCAGGATGGCCATATGTGTTAATATGGAAATGCAAGAAATACTGGTTCTGAATGCCTCTCTGCAAGCTAGGTAAAGATAGAAAATAGTTGCTTCTCTCCATGTGGTAGGTGAGGATAAGATGAAAACGTATGGTAGTGATCATTTTTTTGGATGGTAGGAGATGGTGGTAAGGTGGTGGTAATTTTCCAGAGCCATCTTACACTTGCTGAGTTGTCTTTTACCACTGAGGTTTGAGAAGGACTGATCTAAGATTGTGATGGTTCAAATTTGTTTGCCTGCTTTTTTTCACCAATACCATTGGAGTTGACAGCCATCCTTTTGGAATTAGAGTGTGATTGCAAGTGGGCTCTCCAAGGATATGAAGTGGCCATTATATTTCAGAGGTAAAGATAAATCAGATGGGATCAGTGTTTCTCCCACTCTTCTTAGGAAGACAATATCTCTGTACTGTGACAAACAACATTTTTCCTATAGTTTTGGATTTTCATTTCTCTCTTCTGGAAATGGTAGAAATAGTATTCATGTTGCTTTTAATAGTTAGAAGCCATATAAAAACATCAGGGTTGCACAGTACAAGTTACTAAACTCTTTTTTTGGGAGGGGAGTCGGAGTCTCACTCTGTCACCCAGGCTAGAGGGCAGTGGCGTGCTCACAGCCACCGTAGCCTCAACCTGCTGGGCTCAGGCTATCCTTCTGCTTCAGTCTTCCAAGTAGCTGGAACTACAGGTGGCCATCACCTCGCCCTGCTGATTTTTTTGATTGTAGAGACAAGGTCTTGCCATGTTGCCCAGGCTGGTCTTGAACCCAGGTTACTAAACTCTTTTGTGAATTTCTTATCATCATTTTTAACCCAAGTTCTCTTGAAATGACAGCAGTCTTATTTGTAGCTAGTGTCTAGTGTGGCACATTTTAGTTTTTCTTTTCCCAATTCTTCATCTCCCTTAGCAAGTGGGAAAAACGGTGTCTCATTCGACCATTCACCCTTTACTTAGAACAGAAAGCTAGAATGCCTTTGACATCTAAACTAACAACTTCCCCCTTGTTTTGAGAGTGAGTTATGATGAAAATATTGGCGTGACGTAGCGAATTTGTATAGTACTTAACATTTTCTCTCTGGTTAAAAGGGAAAAACTTCAGTCATTTCTGTATCATTTGGAAATGTGTTTTTTTCTTTTCCTTTTCCTTCCCATTGTAAGTTTGTCTTCTTGACCCTGCAAGGTAGCCTTATGTAATTATTGCAAAATAGGTCATTTTATTTTAGATGTTCAATACATTGTCTTTTTTTTTCTGACAAGAATGTTTTATTTGACAGAAAACCTGATCGTGAGAGAGTTGAGGATTTTGATCACACAAGTCGAGAATCTAACTATTTCGGCCTTTCCCCAGAAGAGCGCAGAGAGAAGCAAGCTATAGAAGAATCTCGCTTACTCTATGAGATTCAGAACAGAGATGAACAGGCTTTCCCAGCTCTTTCCGTATGTATAAAAAGAGTTCTTGTTTTAGAAGTCTCTCTTAATACAGTTTTTATATTAAACCACAGTTTCTAATGGCAGACTAATGATTTTTAAACTAAAAGGCACCTTAGAGGTCATGTAATTCTTCCTCCTTTTCACATTTTTCCTGAGGTATAAGAGGTCTAGGGCTACTATTAAGAAGCTGGTGACAAATGGCGCACTTGTGGTGTTTAATATTTTTTTTGAACCAAAAGTTTAATTTGCTAGCAAAAGTAATGTGTAGTTCACAATTTAGTTAATTTACTACAAGGTATGTGGGTAAGATCAGGAAATGCTTTTCATTGTTTATTGAACACAGGACCTGATATTGACAATGAGAGCTGTCTTTCAGGGTAGGTGCTGTTTGAGGTGGTGGCACATGTCATCCTGTGGCTTTGTCCTTCCTTTGTGTGTCAGACACTGGGTTGTGATGGAGGCTTCTCTAATGAAAAATATTCACTGCCTTCAGGTTTCTTAACTCGGGGAGTCAGGAGGGAAAACTGTTCTCTTGTAAAATGAAGTATGTATCCTGAAAGGTGGGTTTGTTGACTCACAGGGCAGGGGTAACTAATTCATTCTCGTGACTGGGAACCCTTTGCCCTTGGTCTTTTAAGTTTTGGTTGAGTTGTTCCCAAATGGGTACTTTTCTTAATAGTAGATTAAACAGACAAAAGGGAATATTATGGGAAGCTACCCAGCATACCAGTATAAAATATTAAAACCTTACACTCCCAAGTCTGCCTTCTGGACTCTGGAATTCTTTAGAGGTCCCAGGAATTCAGTTGCAGACAACTGATCTGGAATAGCAGTTCAATCTGGCCACAGGGATTGGAATTTGGGAATTATTGGAAATAACAGGTGCCCAAATTCATATGTGAATAGGCATTGTTTGGGTGCTGAACATCTATCCCTCATGTTATATGTGTAATTTTTCCTTCATGTTTATAGAATAAACAACTACAAACTAGTTAAGCTTGTACTTACCCTTTTTTGCATTTTTTTTCTGTTAGCGAATTGTAAAAGTACAACTACTATAATGTAGGACTAGATTGTGAAATCTTTTTGTTATTAAAAATGGGGTCTTCATACTCATTTTTGGACTGCGTTTGATCCAATATTGGATTTGATAGTGACTCAAGTTTGTCTCCTAGAAAATTCTTGCTAGAAAATCTGAGATTCTCTTTTTAGCTGTGTGAAACATTTATTTTTAAAGAGTGCTAAAACAAGAACCTGGAACCTTCGATGATAATTTAGCTTAAAAATATAACTTACTCCATTCCCTAATCTCATGCAGAGCTTAAGTGGTTGGCTGACAGTAAGCATTTCAATGAGAATCATCGTGCGCTGTATCTGCTAATTTGTACGTAGTTTTTTCCCCCTAGACAGAGGATTATGGCTCCACAATGGCTTTTTTTGAAGGTTGATACTGAAGATGCTGTTGTTTTTGTAAAGAATGTAGGATGCAAGGTGAAGGTTTAGTCAAGTGGCTTCCTGAAATGGGGCTATGAAGAAGTCTGCTAACTTAGTTTGACGTCTAAATGCCTCATCCCTTTGATTCAGTAATAAGACTATTAGTCTAGAGGATATAATGAACTATGGACCCTAGATTCTGTCTTGTAGTTTCAGAAGTATAAAAATTGGGCCAGGCACAATGGTGCATACCTATAATTCCAGCACTTTGGGAGACCAAGCCAGGAGGATTGCTTGAGCCCAGGAGTTTTCAAAACCAGCCTGGGCAACGTAGCAAAACCCCAACTCTATTTTATAAATCACAACAAAAAAAGGAAGTATAAAAATAAAGAACTAGCCAGAAACAGTGGCTTACAACTGTAATCCCAGCACTTTGGGAGACTGAGGTGGGAGGATAACTGGATACCAGAAGTTTGGGACCTGCTTAGGCAACATGCAAGACCCTATGTCTATCAATAAATAAATACATACATATATAAAGGTCTGTGAATTTTGAGATTTTTAGAAGTGTGACGAGTAAAAGTAATTACAGGACTTTTGTTCATATATATGTGAGTAAATCTTAAACATAAAATATTGGGTTTCGTTCACTTTAAAGAGCTCATCAGTCAGTCATTCAACTTCTCAGAGTAGCAACCCATGCATCCAGAGAAAATCATCACATGGAAGCGATCGGAAAGGAAGCAGGCGGAGAATAGATACAGAAGAACGAAAAGACAGAGGTAAATCATTTCACTGAAAGCAGATGCTAAAGATCGGTTTAGATGACTGGTTTAAAGTCATATATTTTTAAGTTGTTAAGCGATTTAATGTCACATATCTGATTGTTGAAGAGAAACTGACTTAAGCTCGAGCTTGTTAAATGATATTTTAAAAAATATGTTTTTCACTGACTAAACGCAGTTCAAATAGTAACTTTTGGCTTTATTTTTATATTTTGTTATTCTGTATTCAAACCTGACTGATGGCTTATTCTGTCTTTTTAATTTTGGTCTGTTACAGACTCTCTCCATGGACATAGTCACTTGGATAAAAAACCTGAGCCAAGCACATTGGAGGTAAAAGTTTTAAACATTAATTGCTTCTTTTATTTTTCTTTAACACTGTGATAGTATTGTGGGAAGAAGTGTAAGGAAGGACGGTGGGAATGATTTCAACATCTTTTATAGCTATGTACTAGGAAAGTAAAAAAGCAGGGACAAAATAATGGCGATTGGGAAGTCTCTCACAATTAGAACCATTTCTTCAAGGTACATTAGGGTGCCCTATGTGAATTGCTGGAAAGTAGCTTTTGCTCTCCATCACTCTGTAGATCGATATATTATTACTATTATTTTTTTGAGTCGGGGTCTCACTCTTTCGCCCAGGCTAGAGTACAGTGGCATGCTCATGGCCACCACAATCTCGACCTGCTGAGCTCAGGTGATCCTTCCGCCTCAGCCTTCCAAGTAGCTGGAACTACAGGCTCACGTTACCAAACCTAGCTAACTTTTTTGACTTACTGTAGAGATGAGGTCTCACCAAGTTGTCCAGGCTGGTCTTGAACCCGTGGGCTCAGGCAATCCTCTTGCTTCTGCCTCCTAAAATACTGGGTTATAGGCATAAGCCACCACACCCTGCATTAGACTGATATTTTTAAGGAAGAGGACCAGACTTTTTGAAGCCACATCCTCATTAAAAATTGCCCAGTATTTGGTTGGGATAAAGATGTGTGAGTAAAGTTAACCTACCAGTTGAAGGCCAGGTATGATTGGAATAAAAACTCAGTTGTGTGAGGGTTCAGTCACAGGCAGGTCGGGTGAATTATAAAAGGAAACCACAATTTCCTTTTACCAGAATGTGGGTCTCTGAAATATAACATCTTGCTTCTTTTTTACTTCCAAAGAATATTAACAATGATAAATGTGCAACAGTTTCATCACCATCAAAGTCAAAGAAATTAGAGTGCTCCTCTCCTGCTGAACAAGTAAGTTCACTGTTGCATTTGACATGGAAGGCGCCATTCTTTGAGTTTCTTTGCTCTGTATATAGGATTATTTAGAAACAGAAACCATCTATATGGAAAATGGAATAATCTATTCTAGCATTGCTATTTGGGTGTGGTTATGATTTTTCTTTAATTTGTTTTGATGTTGGTTATTCCAGAATGTTATTTTTATAATCACCATTTTCTGGACATGGAAGCCAGTCTTCTGACTTGATTTTGAATACATTTATATTTGGTAACTTGCTTTTACCTGTGTTGGTGGGTGAGTTGGTTTGAAAATTAGATTTTTAAAGAGAAACTATGAATTTTTGTTTATTTCAAATTTTTAAAAATAATTTTCTGTATCATTAACAATTTTTCATAAATGGGATAGAATTACTAATAGAAGAGATTTGAAAATTATACATTTAAAAAGCAATACCATCCGTTTACAAATTTCATGATGGAGTCTGTGTTCTAGCAAACATTTTGGTTCTTAGTCTGATATGGGAGTAGAGAAAATTAAATTTTAATTACAGCAAACATCCTTCGTATTGGTAATAGAGCATATAGTTAAATGGTATGTCTGTGTGACGAACTTTTCTCAATAACTCGTTAATTTCAAGATGATTTCAAAGATTTTGCTTACTTGCTTTAGAAGCATTGTGTTATATCTAACTCTGCTAGTGACTTCAATGACTTTTGGTAGGTAAAACCCTTGGTTAGGGTCAAATTTGTTTAATATTTTTAACTACCTTGATTGTTTTCTTTCATTTCGAAGACTGTATGGACCATTTATACTTAAGTTGCATAAAAGATAGGCAACTCAAGGTACATCTGGTGGCTAGAATTAGTGTATACACTAAATGAACTCTTGACTTTTTCTGTCTTCCATCCCCTTCTTGAAGAAGCCAGCAGAACATGTGTCTTTGTCAAACCCAGCTCCCCTTCTGGTTTCTCCAGAGGTACATCTAACTCCTGCGGTGCCTTCTTTACCAGCCACTGTGCCAGCCTGGCCAAGTGAACCTACAACTTTTGGACCAACAGGTTAGTGAAGAATTTAGAAAATTCATCCAGCCAACCAACAAAAGCCTTTCAAGTCAGAGACTTCAAATTGTTGAGTGGGAGCTTAGCCTCATAGCAGGGTTAGATGTTTGGAGCCTCACAGGGCTCTCTGTGTTATTCTGCTCTGCTTCCAACATGGAATGACCAGGTTCATTTGGGTGGTATTCATCAGATCTCAAACTCCTAGCCTCAGACTATCCTTGCCACCTTTGCCTCCCAAAGTGCTGGGATTATAGGTGTGAGCCACAGCGCCTAGCTTTGGGTGGTATCTTTATGAGTTATGCCCTCATAATTCCAGGAGTGTGATGTTTGAGCTGGTTACTTTGGTTGCTCAGTGACCTTACTATTTTCTTATACATTTGTAAGAGCCGCGGTTAGAGGACGTTGACGCAAAGCGTGTTTCCTGGGCCATTTCCTCTGTGTCCAGGACGATCCTTGGTTGATATAAACAAGTACTTCTTTAAATTGCTTAACAGTACACATTTGATCAGCTATATCAGTAATGCGGCACTGTATTTTAGAATTTAATGCAAACATACTTGTAGAGGAGAATTATTTTCACCTTTTAGTCATTTTTGATTGCTTTTCTTCTCTTTTGTTAGGTGTTCCTGCTCAGATTCCCATCTTGTCAGTGACACAGACTCTGACCACTGGACCTGATTCTGCTGTATCCCAAGCTCATTTGACACCCTCTCCTGTTCCCGTGTCAATACAAGCAGTCAACCAGCCCTTGATGCCTTTGCCTCAGACGTTGAGCCTTTACCAAGACCCACTCTATCCTGGGTTTCCTTGTAATGAAAAGGGAGATCGAGCCATCGTACCACCTTACTCACTGTGTCAGACTGGGGAGGACCTGCCTAAAGGTGAGCCCCTTTTCAAATTACAGATGGTTTGATTAATCAGGTACAAACAGACTTAGTGAGGAAAAAAGAGATGTTAAGTAGAGGTCAGAGGTTTGGCTTCTTAGTACCTAACTGAAGGGTAGACTTACTTGGGAAGGACAGCAGAGGTTTGGCTGTTAGTTATTTACTCCTGTTTCAGCTTTATTAGAAAATGTACTAGAAAATGTCTTTTGTATGCTTAGTAATTGTATCTCCCTGGTGTCTTTTATTCATTCTCAGCTAACATCTTAATAATTTCACTAACTAGATACTTAAACATTACTGAGTTTTCTCAACACTGGTCTGGTTTTTGGAACTACATATATTACTTCATCAATGGAGAGATTATGGGGAAAAGTGAATATAAATGTAGTGACTGTTAATAGGTAGTATACTGAATATTTGTCTTATTTTTGTTAAATAAATTATTTCAAAATTTGCAGTCTCCTTTATTTTTAAGGAACTTGCCACTGCCACCTTTGCTGTTACTTAGCAAAATTTTGTATCTATAAATCTGAAAGAGTAATGCAGTAACTGCCTATGTGCTCTTTACCTGGATTTATGAGATTATTTTGTTTTATTAGTCAGTAGTTTGATGTTCAAGTCTATGGGTAACTGATGAATAGCAAAGGAATACCTGAGCTAATATTATTCTATTAATCATGTTATTAAATTAAGTTAGGTTTATGTTGATTTTATCATTCTCCCTAACACTTTCAGTTTATAATTTTTAAACCTTACAGAAAAGTTGAGAAAGAAATACAGTGAGCACCTTTCTTTTACCTAGATTCAGTTTTAATTAGATAAAATTCTCAAGCCATTTTGGGATTTAATGCTAATATTGACAAAAGAATTACCCTATATTAACAGCTTTTTGTTGTTGTTTATTACAGTTTTTATCTGTTTTATACCATAAGCTAGAGAAAACAGTTCTAGTTGGTAAAATTGTTTTTAGAACTGTATGTTGATTAAAGATGAAAAAAAGCTTTGTGAATATATAATTTAGGTGATTATTTTAATTTCAGATAAGAACATTCTTCGATTCTTCTTCAATCTTGGCGTGAAGGTATTATGCCATTTTATCATTTTAAAGTTATTTAATTGTTTTAAATTATTACTATTTAAATAGTGTTAACTGTTTTTTTTGAGTTGGAGTCTCACTCCTGTCGCCCAGACTGGAGTACAGTGGCCACTCCTAGTCACCGCAGCCTCGCCCTGCTGGGCTCCAGTGATCCTTCGGCCTCAGCCTTCTGAGTAGCTGGAACTACAGGCGTGCGCTACCACGCCTGGCTAATTTTTGATTTATTGTAGAGATGAGGTCTCGCCAAGTTGCCCAGGCAGGTCTTGAACCCGCGGGCTCAGGCAATTCACTCACCTCAGCCTCCCAAAGGCATGGGATTACAGGCTGAGCCACCGAGCCCGGCTAATAGTGTTAACTCTTATCCTGTCAGTTAGTAACCTACGGTTTACTAAATCTTATTTTAAGAACCAGCATTTTTAGTACTGTACAGTTTGGATTTGGTAGTGGCAGAAGCTCCAGTTTTACTTGCTTTTTCTCATTATTGACAATGGTTTAACCCTGTGAATATATTCAAGAAATGGTCATGTCTCTGAGCAGCCTTGTGGAAATGCCCTCACTGGGGAATTAATTAGATATAAATCTGGGGTTGAAATTCTCCATTGCCTTTTGGCTACATATCCCTGAACAAGCCATTTAGCATAACTGAGCCTCACTTTGTTCATTTATGGAATGGGGCAGTATTCTTTACCTGCCTCAATTGTTGAAAAGATCAAAGGAAATAATATGAAAGTCCTGTGTAAGAGGGTGTGATTGTTCACTAGCACAGCAGAGTTTCTTTACCAAGAGTCAATCCATAAATGGCTTTCTTAGAGAGGATAGAGAACTCTGTATCCTTCTCAGTGCTAGGTTTTCTCCTGTCCTGGATTCTTGGGGTTCTAGACAGTTTTTTTTTTTTTCTTTTTTTGAGTCAGAGTCTCACTCTGTCACCCAGGCTGGAGTGCATGGCATTCTCACAGCCACTGCAGCCTCTACCTGCTGAGTTCAAGTTCAAGCGATCCTTCTGTTTCAACCACACCCAACTAATTTGTTGCCCAGGCTGGTCTTGAACCCGTGGGCTCAGGCATTCCTCTCACCTCAGCCTCCCAAAGTGCTGGGATTACCGGCATGAGCCGCTGTGCCTGGCTTAGACAGTTAAAATATGAAATGAAGTATCTCCTACCCCAGCCTGCCGATCATTTTCATAAAAGACTTATTAATTTCACCATCTACTGTATTCATTTCCTAGTTTTATATTTAGTTGGCTTTATCTCATTGGTTAGCTAATTAGCTGGTTATATTTTCTTTATATTTTCTTTATATTTTGGTTTTTGGGTGAACTCTTGCAAAGGAAGGATTTGGAGTATTTCATTCTCTGCATCATTCTTCTCTGATTAGAGGTCTAATTTAGTTCTTACAGCTGGAATGTTCTGTGGGCTCATAGAATTATAGAATCCTAATGATGGAGATCATCTCCTGTACCAGCATTTTCCTGGTAGAACAGGTACAAATTAACTGGCTGACATGGGGTCTCACACAGGGAGTTAGTGGTAGAACCAGGTCTAGTTCAGCAGCCACCGATCAAGGTGATGTCTCCCCTCAACCTCTATATCAGCACTTTGGATTGGTTTTAGGATAGAAGCAAGCAGTGGAGTCTTAATGCAGTGACCTGACTTTGTAATTCCTTTTCAAGTTGAATATCACAGTGATCTAGTATTTGGGCTTGTAGATTGCATATTGTATGATCTTTGTAAGCATGAGAAATTTATCTTGAGCCCAGTACTTTCAGGTAACTGACCACCCAAATCTCTTTTTTTACTTCCCTTTTTATTTTAATTTTTTTTTTTTTGTCTCTTTTAGGCATACAGTTGTCCAATGTGGGCCCCACATTCTTACCTGTACCCTCTGCACCAGGCCTACATGGCAGCCTGCAGGATGTACCCAAAGGTCCCTGTCCCTGTGTATCCTCATAATCCTTGGTTCCAGGAAGCTCCTTCTGCTCAGAATGAAAGTGATTGCACCTGTACTGATGCCCACTTTCCTATGCAGACTGAGGCCAGTGTTAATGGCCAAATACCACAGCCAGAGATTGGACCGCCGACATTTTCTTCACCTCTGGTTATCCCTCCATCTCAGGTGTCTGAAAGTCATGGACAGTTGTCTTACCCAGCTGATATTGAATCTGAGAACCCTGGGCAGCTTCTTCATGCTGATTATGAAGAATCACTAAGTGGCAAGAATATGTTCCCACAGCCGTCCTTCGGACCCAATCCATTCTTAGGCCCGGTTCCTATTGCACCTCCTTTCTTTCCCCATGTTTGGTATGGATACCCTTTTCAGGGATTCATAGAAAATCCAGTCATGAGGCAGAATATTGTCCTGCCCTCTGATGAGAAAGGAGAATTGGATCTGTCCCTGGAAAATCTGGATCTCTCTAAAGAATGTGGTCCAGTTTCAGCCGTAGATGAGTTTCCAGGAGCCAGGGGTGAAGGCACACATTCACTCACAGAAGCAAGCGTGAGCAGTAAGCGTGAAGGCCGGGCGGAGCAGTCCTCCCAGACGCAAAAGGCAGACCTTGCGCCAGCGTCTGTCCCTCCTCTAGCAGAGGGGAAGGCGCATCCTCCCACACAGATTCTAAACAGAGAGAGAGAAACGGTGCCTGTGGAACCTGAGCCTAAAAGGACCCTTCAGAGTCTGAAAGAAAAACCAGAAAAGATGAAAGATCCTAAGACTACTGCTGATGTGGTCAGCCCTGGGGCCAACTCTGTGGATAGCAGAGTGCAAAGACCAAAAGAAGAGAGTTCAGAAGATGAAAATGAAGTGTCTAATATTTTGAGAAGTGGTAGATCCAAGCAGTTCTATAACCAGACTTATGGAGGCAGGAAGTACAAAAGCGATTGGGGCTATTCTGGTAGAGGTGGATATCAGCATGTGAGGGGTGAGGAGTCCTGGAAAGGGCAGCCAAGCAGAAGCCGGGAGGAAGGTTATCAGTACCACCGCAACATCAGAGGACGACCTTACAGGGGAGATAGGAGGAGATCAGGAATGGGAGATGGCCACCGGGGACAACACACTTGATGGTGGTTGCTAGAGTGTTTTCAAGCGGAAACTCTTTGTTAGGTAGAATGTTTCTGAAGGCTTTAAAAAAAGACGTTGAAATAAAAACCCAAATTGGAACATTCTCCCTCCCGCCCCCTTCACTTCCGTACTGGACAAGAGATTTTGGGCGTGAGTTCAAGGGGGCAGGTGAATTCCTGGCATTGCCGGTTTTCTTCATTCAGATCTGTTTGATTTATTTATCAGGTGACTGCCCCCATAAAAAGTAGAAGATAAGTTTGTTAAAGTATTTTTTATAAACAGCTTAATATAAAACATTATAGATTTAGTGTTTGGTTTTTTTCCCTTATATAAGTTTGATTTCATACGTTGGAAATGTGTGCTTTATAGTGTTTACTAAAGTGACAAAATATACCATTTGACACACTATAGATTCCAAACATAACATTGCACCAAATAGAAATGTATATTTTATTATGCAATGCCTTAGTCATAAACTGGGCTCAAACAATTCTCAGCCTAAAACACTGTTGTCTTTTAAAATGCTTCCAACCCAAAGGCCTTTCATCTCAATATCTGTCAAACTTGAATAATGTCTTCTCTTTAATATTACACATAAGGCAGCCTATTAACCTGTGTCTTAGAAATGTTGTATATAGTTCTTTTAATATTCATAGGGTATATTTTTGAATTTTGGTGAGTATTTGTTGAACTTGAGCTCACATATAAGGAGATGTTTAAGGAATAGTAGGAAATCCAATGAAATGGCTGTTTCCACCAAGAATTCTTAGCACTGGTGTAAATATCATGGTGCCTACTCGAATGAAATGTAGATGCTATGCATTTTGAAAATAATCTGCATCTGTTAGAACTGCAGAAGTTTTTTAATGCCACTTTAACACTAATGCACTGACAGATTCTAAATATTTTGTGAGAAGAAACGTTAAAAATTTTTAGCTTGACAGGTTTCTATAGAGAGTTACTATGTTTCGTTTTTCTCCTTGCACCACTGGTTGTATATCACTTCACATTTGCATGTCAACTTGTCATGGCTGGAACTATTGTACAAAAAATGATTGTGACTTCTAGTTATTTTCTAGAGGATGCTGCTAGAAAATGGTTTTGCTTTGCATTTCGTAGCTGGTTACCTTTAGGTACATGTCTTTGATCCTGCTTCCTTCCAGTCCTTGCAGTATTACACTAGCGGTTCCCTGTGCATGTTGCACCCTGTTCCCATTTGGAGATTGGACTCCCTGAATTAACACAGTATTCATTCACCTGTGTTACTTTGTAAAAATAATTGTCGCTTATATTATCTGTACACACCAATGTGAAAAGCTACCCTTTTAAAAATGTTGAGATTACCTTTTGATCAGGAAGTTTGAGTGCTATGCAAATAACAGTAGTAATTTCTCTTTGCATGTCATATGTAATATACCTAGCCAAAAATGGGTGTGGTGGCTTACTTTCTTTTATTTGAAGCAGGTTACTTTAAAAACAAATACAATTCACTTGAATTTGACAAACTGAAGCAGATGAGTCTTTTGGGTTCTTTGATAACCCATAGGAATGCTTGGATGCCAGCTGGGCTCAGTGACTCTCCACTGTACTGTAATGATGGTTATTTACCTCTGTGCTGTCTGTGTAACTGCTGATTTGAGTAATGATTAGCATCTAGATATTTTGTAATATAGGATTTTAGGGAGCACTTTGGAAGATGACACTTTATTACGATGGTGCTAGGTAAGAATCTGTATACTAGAGTGGTTGTGTTGAAAAATGTTGAGAGCGCCCGGCGAAAGGGGTTTGTTGTCACCTTCCAAGCAGGACAGTTCTTGGGGGTCCTGCTTGAGCCATTCTTCTTTTCTTAAATCAGGGGCTGAATTATGGAACAAGAAGATGAGAGGGTCCTCTACTTTCAGCCCTTGTGTTTTTAAACGTAGGATTAGCTTACCTGATAATTTCAGTGAAAATCACATTTTGATATTAATGCCAGATTTGAAGGTTCAATATAAGTTTGATCTCAGGAGTCCAAAAGAAATTGCTGTTTCCAGTGTTTTTGTTTTTTTTGACTGGCGTTTGATCTCAGTTTTCTGAAATGTTTAGAAATCGGATAGGAAAGAATACTATTCATTTCTTCACTATCACTCTGTCTTACCTCAATGGAGTAACAGCTCCTGAAGGAAACACTGATTTGCTTCCTGTTTCCCAGGCCTCACCTCCAGGCCATGATGGAAACAGTGCTGAAAGAGAATTTTAGCAGATGGTACTTCTCTCAGTGACCTCTGGAATAAAAGAACTGACTTTTGATAGTTCTAAAATCATCAGTCTTTGCATGCAGGTCAGTTTTTTTTTCTTTTTCCTTTAGTTTCTTTCTTTCTTTTTTTTTTTTTTAATGTTTTAGTCCAGGGGATTTTGCCTTATGCTGAGGTCACACTAAGGCCAAGCAAGTTTTTGTCCTCCTTCATTTTAGCTGTGTGTCATACTATATGTTGACATAAGGTGTAGTATTTCTGTGTAAGAGAATAGAAGCAAAAGTAGAGAACTGAGAACCACTTGTGTTTTGACTTGGAAATTATGAAACTTCTTATATACATTTTGAAGAACAAATGTTTAGACTGACCAAAGCTCACCTGTTCTTTTTGTTTTAGTTAGGTGCTTTGGCTGAACCTGATTCCAGCCCCCTTTCCTTTTAGTATATTGTATGTATGTCTCCTCAAGATCATTTCCTCTCAGATAATTCTCTAACTCTTGCCGTGTGCTCCTTGGCAGCAGGATGCTGGCATCTGTATAGTCTTCGTGCTGTGTGCTGGTAACCCACAAGTTCATGTTCTTGGCAGACTTAAGGTCAGATCCTGCCTTGTACCTGGCAGAAGTAGGTTTTCCCAAATCACAATGCTCATACAGCTTATTTGGTCCAGACTATGTCTTCTTGCAGTGTGTTGTTTCCTTTGTGACTCAAGGTTGAGTTAAAATGCCTGTGAACTGCAAACTTGCTTATGATTGACTTGGTGCAATAAAGTTCCTTTCTAACCATTTCTGGTTTAGGAAACATTCAGCCATCCTAGATACTAGCAATATTTATTTTTGCCTCATTTGTTTTACCTTCATTTTTGTATGAGGTAAACTGTCTTTCACTTAAGGGTACTAAGCAAGGTCCATTCTAGTGTAGCTGAAGAGAATGTATATTTGGCTACACTATTTCTGTTTACTGTATTTTGCTTCGTGTATGTCTAAATGCTTTTGTTTTTGTTTAAAATCTTAATAATGGCTCACTTCCAGTATGTCAATTTCAAAGAACTAAGGTTTTGCTACTAGTGTCAGCCATTTACTCACTCATTAATTGGGGTTTTTTTTTTTTAAACAAATTTTTCCCCCTGAAATACAAGTTTTAGAAAATCTTAGAAGAGGGTTGGGTGCATGTCTTAATGCTGGGAGGCAGCAACTTTGGGGTTGAATCTACTTGAATGGATTAAAAATTGCATTGTTACAGAGCTTAGAAGAAAATTTATGTATGAAAAATATTAGCCTTACACTGAGTACAAATAATACTTAAAAGCATGTGAAGATGTGATCATTTGTGATGTTACTTGTAAAAAAAAGTATACATATCTTTTGAAGTGTTGAAAGGAAAATAGTACTTTATATTCTTTATCATATCCCTTTTTGTAAGTGTTGAATATATTCCTGTTTATTTTTCTATGTTCTGTTTTGTAGCCTTAAGAAGTGTTCCAAACATATCTGAATGTATAAAATAAGAGTAAATGCCCTACATGGTGTGATGCTGCATTATATATAAAACTGTGTGCATATATTAAATTTTGTCTTGATTCTGCTGTGATTCTTTGGTTCCAGGGTTAACCAAGTCTTAGAGGAATTTTAGGAAAACTTTACAGTAAGAGGTGGTTATCATGGTTTTTCTAGCCAGAAAATTCTAGTATATGCAGCTAAAAATGAAAGAATGTATGGGGCTGGCAGTTATTTTCCCTACTTTATATACATAATGAAACTCACATTAACATAAAGTTATTTTGCCTTAGGTCATGCAACTATGGTGAACTTGGATTTGAGCCTAGCTCTAAGTAATTTTACAGCTAGTAATGCTCTTTTTGCTGTAGTTACTAAATGATTAAGTGGGAATGTGCAGAATTATAAATGGTCTTGTATAGTTGTTTGCAGTTAGTATTCAATAATCCGAGGAAAATGAGGTAAATTGAATGTCTCGAGAACACAGCTATCAAGTATATCTAAATACTTTGAAAATTCAATAATTTCTTAAAGCTGCATATTCTTTTAAAACTGTTAAGAGTAGCTTTTTAAAAATGAGAACTTTAGCTTTGGACTAACTACCTTCATATTAAGTAGAAAATTACTGCTTGTTTACCTACTTAGAGAAACACTTCTGCAACTTGTTGCTTCCTTCCTGTAATTTACTTTTCTAAATTAGTTGAAGCATTTTAAGTTCTTTGTGATTTTACAAGGTACTTTCAAAACAAATAGTCTGAAACTATAACCTAGGAGCAGACTGTTGATGGAGGAAACCTATACTTAGGTACCTCAAGGTTGAGAGCTGGAACTGACATTTACATTAAAGCCAGGATGGCTCTAGTGACAAGGCCAATAATAGTAAAACTCTACAGAGCTGCTTGGTCTGGGTTTGAGGTTTTTAAAGGAAAAAAAAAAGGCCACTGAAAATGTTACATTAAGCTTGGGGTCCAGGAAGGATGGTTCCTCGCTAGTAATACACTTGGGTCATCAGGCATAGGAAAGTGGGAAACCTTTGGAAGCAAAATTAGACATCAGCCTAGGAGCCAAAGGTTGCAAGCAACAGAAAATAAGTTTGATTTTCAGTCGTTTTCATTAGAAAATCAGGGAGAGGGCTGCTGGCTGTGTGCAGTGTTTGATGCCAAATTAGCATTTTTGTGGCTTTCTTTGTATTTCCCATATATGCATCACCTCTCTAAGTCTAGCACTTGGGAGGCTGAGGATGGAGGTTCTCCTAGCCCAGTTCAAGACCAGCACACAGTGAAACCCCTGCCAGAAAATGTAAAAAGCTGGGCATGGTGGCATGTACCCACAGTCCCAACTACTCAGGGTGTTGAGGTGGGAGGATTGCCTGAGCCCGGGAGGTAGAGACTGCAGTGAGCTCTGATTGTGCCATTGTGCTCAATCCTGGGCATCAGTTAAATGCCAATCCTCATCCCCACCAAAATGAAAAAAAAAAAGACAGCTGTACACCAAGTAAAAACAATAAATATGGATAATTGCTAATAAACGATTTTTAAAGCTGTATGTGCAAGATACAAAATTCAAAAGGTACTGTGTTTAAATGTCTCCTTTTCTCCCCTATTTAATGACATTCTTTCCCAATCTGTTGAGTATTCCTTCATATAATTTAATATTTTGTATATTTTCACATAATGGTACTGTACTCTATAAAACTGTGTTGCACTTTGCTTTTTCTTAGTATTTTTCCCAATCAGGACATACGGAGCAGTCTCATTCTTTTTCATAGTTAACACCTGCATTGATGAAACATGTAATACTGATTTTATAGATAAATCTTTTTTTTGTATTACCAACTGTAGGCCTTTCTATTGTTATATAAAACTTTAACACTTAAATCCATATTTTGAAGATCTCATTTACATGAAAAATATTTCCTTATAATTAATACATATTCTGTCATTAGCAATAAGTATAAAGAATTGTGCTGTTATATCCTAAGTATTTTATTTAGGACAGAATACGGAATCGGTAAATAAAAATAACTTTTGTCTTATTTTATTCAATATATCTGAAATAATCATTCACAAATTTAACCTATCCTTAAAAATAGGCATTATTTTAGTGTAATCCCATTTATTTACAAAACAAACCCTATACATATTCACACTTAGATAAGTGCACAGAAAAAAGCATGAAATAATATAATTAAATTCAAACACTGGTAACCTTTGGGAGTATAATAAAGGGAGATCACTTTTTATTCCACTTCTGTATATTTGAATTTTTCACAACAAACATTTATGAATTACATAAATTATTTTTCTTAGAAGGCCCAATGGGGTCCAGTTAAACCATATTCCTAGCCATTGTCTGCATATTAGTCAAGGCTTCCATTATTTCAAGGACCTCTAAAAAGTTTTGTCAAATGCTTTCTAATTTTCCTCCCTAGTTTGCTTGCCCCAATAATTTATTTAGATAAGTTAATTCTGGTTCAATGCATTAGTCAGAAGTACAAATGAAAGTGGTTTTAGTCTATAGGTTATTATCCTGCTGTTAAAATTCAGGAACTCAAATTTGGATGAGTTTTTAGAACTCCAAAAAAAAAAAAAAGTGTGCTCTATATCCAAACAAAAATGAATATATTTGGTATCAAGGGATACTTTGTATTGCTATCCGGGGACTCTTGCATTAATGTTGCCTTTAGTGAAGTGGTTTACAATCTTGGCTGCCCATCAGAAAAATCTGTGAAAGTTTAAAAAATACATAGATGCTTAGGCACCATTGTTCAAGTCTTGAGTCTACAGTTTTAAGGGACGCAAACATTCTTTACAAATGCTTTTTCCTAAATCTTGATGGGTGATTATATAAATGCATGTTTAAAAAATGTTATCTTGTGAATAATTACAGAATATAGAATCTATTATAGTATGCAAAAACTCAAAAACTCGGAGTAAAGTTAGGGTTTTTTTTTTTTTTTTAGGAGGAAGGGAATTGAAATGATTTTTGCTAATGATGTTCAAAAGCACCAAAAAGCATTACAGACAAGTAACAAATACCTAGTTTTGAACATGGTGTTTTGGTAGTTAAGATCATCTTCCTTGGAAACCATATACTGATAATACAGTGCTAAGACTGAGAACAAATAAATATAATCCTGATGTTTATCAAATCTCATCAGTGGACTCTTCCACTGGCTTTTAAAATAAGGGCAGTTTTCATTATACTGGCATACTTGGCAAACCAGGTAAGTACAGAAACCTTTTTCAAGAGTTTAAAAATGGGGCAACACTGGTCAGCACTTGGTACGTGACTATAATACACCTAATTGAAAAATATTCCCACACATCATGAAAACTTGGAGGTAATTTGTATAGCTTGAAATGTCTCCATTTTAGAATATCATGCACAAAAGGGCCTTTTCTTCAAGAACAGAAAAGTAGTATTTTCTGTGTTCAGGCTGCAACTTACAACACAACTGGCTTTTGATGTTACATTAAGTAAATTATACTTCAAGCTCCAGAGTATGTGGGCATAAAACCTGATTCAAGTTTTATATGACAAAAATCCTAGTAAATGTTTCTTTTAATAATGGCTTATCAATATTCTCAGATTCAGTCTAATCATCCAAGAAAAAGTAGTTTCCACTCTTCTTTTGTTCCACATCCTAAAAAAGCAAGCAAAGAAAAAAAAATCAGCAACATCATTCTGTGAGGTAGACGTTCCTCCATGGTACTACTCAGCGGTGTTCACACCAGGGCCTGCACAGTATCTTCTGCACCCACCATCTGCTTCTGGACTTTCCTGGGTCCACTACTCAAGGGCAAGATTACTACCTCTGCTCCCCATTCCCAATACGGAAATGACTCACTTGCACCAACTCAAGCAAAGCCCCTTTTACATAAGATTACTTATGTACATTGTAATTTTTTGCTATGTGTCGCAATTGTTATGTATCATAATACTATTTCTGGGAAAACTATTAAATTCTATTTTTGCTGTTCAAACTTAATATTCTGGCCCAAAATGTAGTACAATGTCACTTTGAAAACTGCATATTACACAAAATATTTATGAAACATTTTTTCCCAATAGTGTTTACAGACTAGCCAGTAATAATTCGTCTACCTGTGTGCTGAGCTGCTCCCTTATTAGGACTAAGGGATGACGAAGATGAGTGGGCATACAGGGATGATTAAGTGCATACAGGTGCACTTGATGACTGAACTATGAGTCTCCCCAAGAAGAAGTAATACAAAGTCCTCTTTTCTACCTAATATACTTTTTCAGAACTGTTCAAAACACTTCAATTTTATGTCAGAATTCACCTTTCTTTATCCTGGCCAGGGAGTAATCATTTAAAAACAAAATAGATAGTAAAGACTAAAGGCATCCAGACATTTTGTTAGGCTTATTAGAATGATGTGCCTTCCAAGAATGCAATACTTAGTAGCAAAGCTAGGACTACAAATGCGAAAGTGGATACTACAGCAGAGGCTTGTTTAACACTTCTTCAGCTTCTGAGCATTATAGATGATGGATATAGGGCGATAAAATGTAAACACTTTAAGTTTACATTTTGGCAGGGAATATCAAAAACAGTAGAACTGCTTATAGAATTCATTTACTCTTTTTTTTTTTTTGAGTGATCAAGAAATTTTTGCCTTCTAAAAAACAAATACCTTTTTTCACATACTAAATCAAGCATGGGGTGCACAACTATTTTATGTATTACAAAGACAGAAAAAACACTGCCAATAAAGAGGACACAATGTTTTCCTCATCAAAGGAGCTTGTTTAACAACTTCTAAAATATACGTTTTAAACATGTATTAAAAAACCAAAAACATGAAACAATTTGAGGAAGGTATTCTTTTAAGAATATACATTTAACATGGTTAAAACGTATATTCCTTCCAATGGTGAACTGGTGTCATCTTTTCCAAGACATTTAAAATGGCGATTAACAAAGGAAGCACCATTGTGCTAAAACACAAGAGAAACATGAACAGCTCTGAGCCCAAGCAGCAATTCGCTACATCACAACTGCTGCCTAAAAGACTGAAGTATGCCATCAGGTCTTCAGTAGAAAACATGAGTTTTAGAATGAAATATGGTATTAATTTTTAAAGAAAAAGCCTTATAATTGTTTATACTGAGACAGAAGTGGTTTATTTAAGATAGTTTTTCTATGTACCTTAATTGAATTGAGTTTATTTATCCGTGGCCTGTAGTTGTTTGGATCTCTTCTGAATGTAATTTCAAGCTGAGATAAGAATTTATTCATGCCAGCCAAAAGGGTTTGAGGACTAGGGGGAGAAAAGAAATCAATCAATTTTGATTAAATTTCATGTGAAAAATGTAACTACCTACTGGAGTGAAGAGTAAGTACGAATCACTACTCCCTCTAATTCCCTAATCAAAAATCATCTGGGTAACAGTATAATCACAGCATATTACAAATCCTATGATCAGAAATGCCTTTGCTTGGATCATATCGTTTTCTTGGCTGTAATATTTTTGTGCAAAACACAGTTTAACCTGCATTTTTAACCTGGAAAGAGAAACATTTAAGACAGAAGTACTATTTAAAAAAAAAAATATCACATCTCGATCACTACATGAATTTACATCATTCCAAAATCTGTTCCTGGTTGCTGCTGACGTGAATTTATGTCTTTGCAAATTCTGTTTGTGAATAGTATATATTTGGTTTATAATCCAAATAAAAATACAAAGTACAGAATGCTAGTCAGAGTGGTGTCTGAGGCAAACACTGGACATGATTGCAACTTTCAACTGTATTGTGAAAAAGGTGACAATTTAGAAAAGACCATTTTTCACTTGTGCTTGTTTAACAACGGAAGTTAGTGGAAACCAGCTTCAGATTTTTTTATTTTCACCTGCTCTCAATGTTAGGAAAGTGAAAAATTTGCTGATCGCAAATATGTTAATAAATAGGTTACAGAACCTCAAAAGTATTTAGAAAAGAATTTAACAAATATTGTATTTATATGAGAAATTTGGCGCTGGAAGGAATATGTATTTCTACCTAGTTGTTTTCAATAGTAACTCTGTTTCAACCCTTTGCACTCAGATGTCCCCTCTGAATGGACATCATATCTAGCAAACCACTCAGGGAACATAAAGAGACTGCTGGTGATTATATACGACAAACTTATTCAAGCGTAAATTTTAAAAAAAAACATGTTTCTTTGAAGTTTTCCACTCAAATTGCATCAAAAAAAGCAAAGAAATGGAATCTATACTGAGATACGATCCATCAGTTGAGAAGTAGTTTTCAGGAATTACAAGTGCATCCTTCCATATCACCTTCGAACAACAGACTGGACAATAAACTACATTATTATTAATGTGGAAGGAAGAAAACAAGACTGCATTGTCTGCTCAAATAGAACATACCGTGGGAGACATCAAACAAATGACTATTGCACAACGTATCAATGAACTTACAATGTACATCAGTGACTGATTCACATGTCACCACGTTAGCAAAACACAAGATTACAAGACATTGGTTCCAATGCTATACTATTTAATACAAGGTGATTCATTAAATCACGCCAAATCAAAATGCACGTAAGTATTTTGCAAAGACAAAGGAGCATCATCATGTGATTAAATTATACAGGCTAAGAAATTTCCCGAAACACTTCAAAAAATGTAATTCTGAATAACTGACTGGGATGCAGGTATGTGCCACCATGCCTAGCTAAGTTTTCTATTTTTGCCTCAAAGTCTTGACCTCAAGTGATCCTCTCGCCCTCAGTCTACCAAAATACTGGGATTACAGGCATTAGCCACTGCACTAGGCTGAAACTGTTGTTTTTAAAGGTCAAAAATGTTTGGCTATCAGTAATTTCAAAGGGTCAATTCAATATAGGTTTTAGCACTCAAAGTAAAATAAATTTCTTAGGCTTGTCTATACTGCAAGTGTTTCCAATGAACAGAATAAGGAAACATGAGACGAAAATGGAAAATAGGTAAATTCATTTTTTATTAATACTCTGCTGTAGATCAGTAACAGATATTTGGGCTCTACTGTGAGCTCAATCACCTCTAAGTAAAAGTTGAACAAATCATATACATTTTTTGAATCTTGTCTTTTTTTGGTCATGTATACAATCAATAATTTTCAAGAAATTATTTGCAAAAACAAAGTCCTTTTCTTGGAAATTCAAATAAAGCAAACAGAAGTTAACCTGAAAGTAAAGTTAAGGAGTCCAGGACTTTGTATACGTCTCTTCCTGGAGCAAGGATTCCAGACTCCAGTCTGAAAACAACTATTCTACATGGTCCCATCCAGTACTCAATATGAATAATCTTGGGAGGTCACAGAATCAGGTGTACAATTTTTGGCTCTTTCATTTTTTAAACATTAAAGTGGTATGATTTTAATGTTTATAAACTTTTACATTTAAAATTTTATGTAATATAAATTATTACATTTAAAATTTTCCAATGATTAGAACTTATAATTAGCTTTGAACATTTTAAAAGGTAATTTTACCTGTTTGCAACTGTGTTCTTAGAAGGAATACCATCAAAAACGATAACCCGATCTGCTAGATAGGTGGCCATGATGAAGTCATGCTCCACAACAAAGGCTGTCTTCTTCGCATGGAGTATGAAACTAAAACAATTTTGAAATTGTTTATAGTTTTTTAATCACAAAATATTCAAATGTTACAGTAAACACATTTATATGACAGCAAACATAATCAAAATATTCTCATGAGCAAGACAGTTACCGTTTGACAACTCGAGCTGCCATCAGTCTTTGCTCTGAATCCAAATATGCAGATGGCTCATCAATTAAATAGACATCAGCAGGCTTGCCCAAGCAAAGAGCTAGAGCCACTCGCTGTAGTTCGCCACCAGATAACGTCTGCACCTAATTGAAGTAGTTGAGCAGATCATGTAGAGACATCCAACATTTAAAATAATGCAATTAAAAAAAAGAAATACAATTGTGTGACAGTACCTCCTGATCAATGATGTTTTCAATTTGCAGAGGTTTCATGACGTCAGTCACAAATTGTGGATGAGTGTAAGCATCTCTTATCTTTTCATGTAGTAACTGGCGTACACTTCCCTGTTTTTAATGGAAAAAAGGATTTAAATGATAAAATTTCAGTACAGAGCTCTTCTATTATGAACCTTGACAAAGCATATCAATTTGTCACCAACGGATATCAATTGTAGTTTTACTGTTTATCCATCTCGCATGTTTTGAGACTTTCTATTCAAAACCTATCATTTAAAACAATACTAAGCCGGGCTCAGTGGCTCAGCCTGTAATCCCACGCCTTTGGGAGGCTGAGGTGAGTGGATTGCCTGAGCCCGCGGGTTCAAGACCCGCCTGGGCAGCGAGACCTCATCTCTACAATAAATCAAAAAATCAGCCGAGCATGCCTGTAATTCCAGGTAGCGCATGCCTGTAATTCCAGCTACTTGGAAGGTTGAAGTGGAAGGATCGCCGGAGCCCAGCAGGTCGAGGCTGCGGTGGCCGGGAGTGGCCACTGCACTCCAGTCAGGGCGACAGAGTGAGATTCCAACTCAAAAAACAAACAAACAAACAAACAAAAAAACAGTACTAAAACTAGAAGCAAGCAAACGATGAATGTTTCAGGGGAGAAATCACTTATGAGTGGGAATTCTGAAGGTTAAAGTGGGTATCAAATAACCTTGGACAATCAGTAAGAGATAACACAAAATGCACAATAATGTGCTAGGGATTTGCTTACCACTTCAGGATAAGGCTGAGTTTTTAAAGCTAAACTTAATTATAGAATGTAAAGAATCATTTCAACCAGGTAGAACATAAAAGTGAAAGTTGAGCTACCAAATGTAGATGCTATAGTTAAGGAGTTCATTATAACACCTGCAGGAATCAAAGGAGGTAATTTTAGCATAACGTTCTCAATGTTTATCTATACGGTAGCATTTATTAGTACTTCAGTTTTTAATGGCTGAATAACTTTAAGTTGTTTGGATAAATTACATTGTTGTGTTTATTTTTCACCAGCTGGTGGGTCATCTAGGTTATTTCCACCTTTTTGCTATTTCGAATAATGCTGCTATAATTTGCATGCAAATTTTTGTCCTGAGATATGCCTTCATTGCTCTCAAGTATTCTAGGAGAGGAATTGCTGGTTCTTATGTTACCACTATGTCTGATTGTTTCTGCAACTGTCAGACTGTTTTTCCAAGTGGCTCTACCATTTTACATTATCACCAGCAATGTATGAGGATCTAGTTTGTTCGTATCTTCACCAACACTTGTTTTTGTCTCTTTAAATTGTCATCCTAGTGGGTATAAAGTGGTGTCACACGGTGGTTTTGACTTGCATTTCCCTAATGATGCTGAGCACCTTTTCATGTGCTCATTGGCAATCTGTATATCTTCTTTGAAAATAAATGTCCTTTTTGGGGGGAAAATATTGCTAGGATTTCTTTAAATATCCTGGATACAAGTCCCTTATTAGGTATATGATGTGCAAATAAATGTTTCCCCCAATCTTTCTTTTTGGTGTTATTTGTAGCATAAAACACATTAGGTTTTTCAGAGTTTATTTTAAAAAAAGAGGACAAATAGATTTTAAAAGCATTTCCTAGTAGTGGAAATGAATCAAGTCAATAACTTTAATCTTTTACTATAGTAAAATTATTTTCCTAATTAGATTCTGTAGTTTTATTGAAAGTCACTAACAAACGTATAAAGGCTTTTATTGAAAGAAGATTTCCTGAGCCAAGGGGTTTGAGACCAGCCTGGGCAACTTGCTGAGACCTTGTCTCTACAATAAATAAATAAATTAGCCGGGTGTGGTGACATGGGCCTATAGTTCCAGCTACTTGGAAGGCTGAGGTATTCGTTCATTCATTCATTCATGTATTCATTCATTCATTCATGTATTTATTGAGCTAGAGTGCAGTGGCACGCTCAAAGCCACCACAGCCTCAACTTGCTGGGCTCAGGTGAACCTTCCACCTCAGCCTTCCAAGTAGCTGGAACTATAGGCGCATGTCACCACACCCGGCTAATTTTTTTATTTATTGTAGAGACAAGGTCTCAGCAAGTTGCCCAGGCTGGTCTCAAACCCCTTGGCTCAGGAAATCTCATCTCCACTTCCCAAAGTGCTGGGATTACAGGTGTGAGCCACCACACCTGGCAAGATCTGCAGCCTTTATACGTTTGTTAGTGACTTTCAATAAAACTACAGAATCTAATTAGGAAAATAATTTTACTATAGTAAAAGATTAAAGTTATTGACATTTATACAAAGTTTTCTTTAGTAACCATATAAAAGAGTAACAACTCACAGTTGATTTGGGACTAATTTTCTGTGGCTTGTAACTGACATTTAGAACTGGTACTTCTCCTGTAAAACAATGCAAATACATAAGACACTAAAAACTACAAAGATATTTAAAGTTCATTATATAGAACAGAGTAAAAAGACTCAATTTACAACTGTACCTCCTTCATCAGGTTTAAGTCTTCCAGCAAGCATTCTGATAAACGTCGTCTTACCTGTACCTGTTAACATACGAAAGATGTTTCACATTCAGAGTCAATCACTACGTCCTACTTGGTTTTAACTTAGAAATTTGTTTTAAAGATATACAAAATATACACTGACACTACTGAATTCTGAAATATAAACGGAAAAACTCTTTCATGGCTCACTTTTCAAATATTATTCTAAGCTAATGAGAATAAAGACTAGTCAAAACTTGTAACAATCCAATGGTAGTAAACAGTAGAGCTCTAAAGGTTAAGTCTTGGCATGTTTTTAAAACACTTATTTAGATAAATTGTGTGCTTACTTGCACACAACTTATTAAGATAGTATAGGCTGTTTGATGATAGATACCATCATGTTATGGTTAATTTATATAAATATTAAGATCAATTGCAACCCAATTCAGAATTCCTGTTAATGGAAGACTGATACATTGTAATAATTCTTCTACAGTTTTAGAAACTGTAAGATTACAACTGAAATCATTAATTTTTAAATCATAAAAGCACTACCAGATATTTAGTAGTAATTCATCTTACAGATATACTTATGATGACAACTGAATAATAGAAGAGCTCTGTACTGAAATTTTATCATTTAAATCCTTTTTTCCATTAAAAACGGAAGTGTTTGCCAGTTACTACATGTACAAAAATACAACTATGTACAAAAATAGATGGTTTTAATTTTAAAATAAGTTCCAAATGGAGATGTACAAAGAAAATTTTTTAAAACTAGATTGTTTCTGATTACCAATTTATTCTTTCCTTTCTAGTCATTTTGCAAGATGAAAATAACTGCCTTACGAATTTGCTTGTAGAAAAACCAGCTGAGAAAAAAAAAAATCTTATTTTCATCGGAGGTTATAAAACAAAAGAAGAAACATTAACTTGATTAAATGACAGATTAAATTATACAATGTTAAAAAAAGGTGAAGTCACACAAAGAAATTTATGAATTTAAAACTCAGCTGCTAGCTCTATTACTGATCTATGTTTTCCATGAAATAGTTACAACTAATTTATTGGATGAATAGGACAGATGTTCACATATCATAAAATAAGAAAATCTTACCATTTTCCCCCAGCATCACCATGATTTCAGAATCTGTAAACTCTCCAGCAACAATTGCTAGCTCAAACTCTCCCATCTTTTTCTTCATTCCTGGATATTTATACATACACATCTTTTTAACTTCTTCTTCATTTGCTGTCTCAGCCACTTTAAAAACAAGTGATGCATCTCTGAATCTCAAGTTTTCTGTTGGAACATAGCCATCCAAAAAAATATTTATGCCTATTGGAAAGAAAAATGTCAACAGATTAGTAAAGATCAATTAAAGACAAAACCTTTGCTTTTCTACAGTAAGAACTCATTACATAAAAGCCAAAATTATAGGCTATCTTGGAAGCAATTTATGTATAAACTTCAAATTTCTATGGATTTTTACTAATACACAGGTGTGCAAATAATGAAGTGATAACATCGTTTTTTATGTAAAGTAAGTTTAAATAATTCATATATACATACACACACACACACACACACACATATATACACCTTGCCTCCCTGAAACACATCTTTTCATTATTGTGATCAGGTTTTATGCAAAGTATAACATAACGTTCTTCCTGATGCATTTTTTCCCTGCTGCATTTTAAAAGTAAAATTGCAATTTTAAAAAAAGTGACAAGAAAGTAACACTATTTTCATAGATTAATATACTACTGATACAAAAATTTGAGGGATAATTTTTTTTTTTTTGAGTCAGAGTCTCACTCTGTTGCTCAGGCTGGAGGGCAGCCTTCACCTCGCCTTCCGAGTAGCTGAACTATAGGCACGCACCACCATGCCTGGCTAATTTTTGATTTATTATAGAGACGTGGTCTCGCCAAGTTTCCCAGGCTGGTCTCAAACCCGTGGGCTCAGGCAATCCTCTGACCTCGGCCTCCCAAAGTGCTGGAATTATAAGCGTGAGCCACCATGCCCAGTGGGATAAATTTTTAAATAAATTTAAGTTATATATATTCATTTGCACATGAGAAATAACCATATACTTTGAAATCAGTTTATTGTATTTTTTTGGAACTTAATTTTGCATGAGTATATGAGAAACCCTTCCTAGAAAAAATTTAAGATCCAGAATAGCAGACACAAAAAATGAAAAAGTGGATTATTTGAGAAACAACATAAAATATGTATTTTAGTATTTCCTATGTAAGAGAAAGGCAGTAGCTTAAGTTTTGGAAGATCTTGAAAGAATCCTTAAGTCTAAGGATGGTATTAATTTCATTTGGAATCGAAAGCCACATCAGGGGGCCTGTATTTTCAGCCTAGAACATTGGTGTTTAACAAATCTTTGCTGACAGAGCAAAAGAACAGATATATTTATTATACCAAACTTGCATTTAAAAAAACTTAAATGTGAAGTTAAAAGATTAAATTCAAACCTCACAGAAACAAAAACAGCTGGGAGTGGCGGCTCAAGCCTGTAATCCCAGCACTTTGGGAGGCCGAGGTGAGGGTACTGCCTGAGCCCATGGGTTTGAGAACAGCCTGGGCAACTTGGTGAGCCCTCATCTCTACAATAAATCAAAAATTAGCCAGGCATGGTAGCGCGCCTGTAGTTCCAGCTACTTGGAAGGCTGAGGCAGCAGGATCGCCTGCGCCCAGCAGGTCGATGCTTGGGGTGGCCATGAGCGTGCCACTGCACTCCAGCCTGGGCGATGGAATGAAACTTCAAATAAAAAAAAAAACCCCAAAACACACAGCCCCCACCCAAAAAAACCTCAAAGGAACCTTAGCAGCCCTCTCTAAGTGCCTGATTTATTAGTTAAGAACATGAAGGTTCAAAGAAATAGGTGGCTTTGTTAAAAAAAAAAATTGGCAAGTCAACCTTTGCATTCCTACCACAATGCTTGTCTTGTCAATTTAAAAGTAAGTCCAAATGATAATCACCTTCACAGTTCATGGTTAGCTTTTACAAATACTGCTTTAAATTCAGTATGTTAAAGAAACACAGAAAAACTAAGTGAAGATGCTTACTTACATTGTTTTAATAGATGAAGCACACTAAACCTCACCAGGAACCATTTATTGAATGGCACATTTAGGACATGGTATTTATAACTGGAAGTGTAAAGGGTTTACACTTTCAGGGTAATCAACAGTGCTGTGTAATCAACCAGATTTGAAAACTACTATATGGTATAGAGCTTGATTCTCAATAAGTATTTGTTAACTGAAGAGAATAAAACATGAATAATTGGTTCTGATATCATCCCTTAAGACCAATGGCAAGAAAGCTGGAGGTAATCAACTGTGCTGTGTAATCAGCCAGATTCGAGAACTACTATATGGTATAAAGGTTAGTTCTAATAAGTATTTGTTAACTGAAGAGAATAAAACATGAATAAGTGGTTCTGCTATCATCCCTTAAGACCAATGGCAAGAAAGCTGGGCAACCTTGCAAATTTTTCCTTAAAATATGCATCTATTTAATGAAAGAAAGAAAAAAGAGAAAGAGAGAGAGACAGAGAGACAGAGAGAGAGAGAGAGAGAGAGAGAGAAAGAGAGAAAGAGAGAGAGAAAGAAAGAAACAAACAAACAAACAAAGAAACAAAGAAACAAAGAAGCAAAGAAAGAAAGAAAAAGGAACCTGCCACAACTTTAGGGAACCTACAAGGTCACATGAATTTTCTTCTGGTATTTTTTTCCAAGGAATAAACTAAGTATCCCTTTTTTACTGCTCTGAAATGTCAGATTAAGGCACAGCTAAAGAAAAGAAATACAAATACAGAAGAAAGCAGTAAAAGGAAATGGAGAAGAAACTAAACATAAAAGGGCCTGCAAGGTGGGGAGTGTGTTGGCACTCACTCAGGAGCTCCTTAGTGTTATTCCCGTTTCTACCTTCGCTTAATAAGCTGCACAGGTAAGGAACAGACACAGAAGGGAGAGGCCAGGGAGTCCCCTTTTCTTGTGAGTATTAAAAATAAACAGAACAGGCCGCTGCAGTCCAGTCTGGGTGACAGAGTGAGACTCCAACTCAAAATAAATAAAAAATAAATAAATAAATAAATAAACAGAACTTTAAAAAATACTCATTGAAGTTTCTTAATAGAATTTTAGATAGCCTTAGTTCCAAAATGTAGGATAGAGATTACAGATAAATTTGAAACATGAAAACAAGATGAGCACTGAAGGAATTTTAGGAGTTTCATTACTATTATCAGCCTGTCAAAGGTAAGTGAAATAACAATTCCACCCACCCCTAAGAGAAAACACTCCAAAAAAGAAAAACATCTTCTATAACAACTGATGTATAACCTTATATATAAACATTTTGCTCACTGATAAAATATCAAGAAACCGGAATTTTGGATAAATTATTAGAGCAATATAAGACTACTTAACATCAACACTATATTTTTTAATCACGAAAGCAGACGAGAATACAGCATTAATCTATACGAAAATAGTTTTTTCAAAAAGTTACCTTCTCTTACACTAAAAGGCATAGTGACAACACCGTACGCGCTTGGTACGCCATATAAACAGCAAATGAAGTCAGACAGATAGTCTAATACACTTAGATCATGCTCCACCACAATAATATATCTGAAAGAAAACAGATTTTCATTTTTAAATGTAGCATAACACACAAATTAGCTAAAGTGCTTATTAACTATTTTTTAATAGTTTTCTTGTCAGGACATATTTTTACAAATTAAACACAAAGAACATATTAAACAAAACCCATAAAACATCTCCTTTAATAAGGCTCATTAGCAATGACTATATTTTAAAATGCTTTCATGAATTAAAAGAAAAAAACAAATGAACACAAAAGTTTACAGATATATGAATTAAATATGTTTTGCTAATAAGGTATGTAATTCAGAATAAATTTTACAGGCTGTACATGTTGGCTCACACCTGTAATCACAACACCCTGGGGGGCTGAGGCAAGAGGATTGCCTGAGCCCAGGAGTTCGAGACCAGCCTGGGCAACACAGCAAGACATCTTCTCTACAATAAATAAAAAAAATTAGCCAGGCATGATAATACATGCCTGTATTTCCAGCTACTTGGAAGGCTGGGGCGAAGGGTTGCCTGAGCCCAGTGGGTTGAGGCTGTAGTAGCTGTGATCGTGACACTGCACTCCAGCCTCAGAAACAGAGTGAGATTCTGACTTAAAAAAAAAAAAAAAAAATTTTATAAGGTAGAAGCAATTATAATAGATTTAATTCAGATACAGTCTAAACTGTCTGCATATTACACTATCCAACTTATGTATTAAGCCATGTATTTGTCCTGTCCCATGCTAGTTGTAGTAGAGGATGCTTAGAGGAACACATGACAAAATCCTTAACCTGAGAACCTTCATTTTAGCCGAGGAAGACAAGGAATAGATATGAAACAAGGAAGACTATGTGGCAAAATTATGCCTCACAGATAAAATCCAGTGATGGTCAGAAAGAAAACAGGTTAGTGTGTACTGGAGCACTTTATGAATGAGATGGGATATGATGAGAACCTTAAATGGATAGATTTGAATTAAGTGATAACATACAGCTGGAGTAGAAACTGAGGCAAGTAACAGTCATGACATTTTTACAGTGTTTTACTCCTATTCTAACTTTATTTATTTTTATTTTTATTTTTTGAGTTGGAGTCTCACTCTGTCAGCCTCGACCTGCTGGGCTCCGGCGATCCTTCCGCCTCAGCCTTCCAAGTAGCTGGAATTACAGGCATGCACTACGCTACCACGCCCAGCTGATTTTCTGATTTATTGTAGAGATGAGGTCTCGCTGCCCAGGCGGGTCTCGAGCCCGCAGGCTCAGGCAATCCACTCACCTCAGCCTCCCAAAGGCGTGGGATTACAGGCTGAGCCACCAAGCCCGGGTTATTCTAACTTTAAAAAATCATGCAGACATCACAAATGTCAACTTAATGCATCAGCTTCCCACACAAATAAAAATGTTTCATATTGGTATTAATGGAATCATCATTCCCCCCAAAATGACTCATTCTCATTGATATACTGTTTAAACAGTCAAGTCTGTAAACTCCTTCTCAACAATGTCTTGTGTGTCAATTTCATTCTTGTCCTTCTCTTCCTAAATTCTAGTTTGGGCTCTCGTATTTCTTTCAACATTGCTATAGACTTTTGACAAAGCTCATTTTCTTCAGGTTCCCTGATGTGCCTCTCAATTCCAAGTGAAGATATCCTTACACTTTTTTTCAAGACCTCCCAAAACTTTAGTTACTGTTTTTCTGTTACCTCATTTACATGAGGGGCAACCCAAAGAAAACTGGAATTATTTTTTGGAGGGTGGGCCCATTGTAGTACAGGCTTCAGCCCCTGCCTGTAAGTGTTCTAGGAACCCACTGGCATCAGTGTACCAGCTAGTGTTGTGAGAGACTGTGTATGGCTTCAGTGAATTTTCTTTTGGAGATTTTTTTCAATGCATTTGCCCATTTCATGATGGATGGATGATTTACACGAACAATGTGTCCACACTATGCTGAGTGTTCAGCAATTTTTGACCAAAACCTGCAAGACCCCTGGGCCCCACTCTCCCTATTCACCTGAACAACTTTTTTGTTTGTTTCCTCAGATGAAAAAAGTCCTCAAAGGGAAACGTTTTGCCAATGTAGAAGAGATGAAACAAAAAACTGCCAGAACCACTAAAAGGTATCAAAATCGACAAGTTCAAAAAGTGTTATGAGCAGTAGAAAAAGCGTCTTGATGGGTGCATTGCATCAAAGAATACTTTGAAGGTAACTGAAGGTTAAACATATAAGAGTAGATAATTTTTTATAAATAAGTTCTGTTTTGGGGGGTCCTCCCTCGTATACAAAAACACTAAAAAAAGGTATTTTTTTCCTGAATAATCCATTTATTTGTGTTTAAGAGGCTATTCTTTTTCTAGTCTCCTACCTAAGTCTTCACCTGTTGATAGCTGGTCTTTAAGGTCCATCTTGAATTCTACTTTCTGTAGGAATGCCTTTACTAATATACAAATGAACTTTGCCCCTCTTGAACCTCATGACAAGTTATCTGAAAACTGATATCTAGACTTTTACTATTTTTGAATTTGCCCAATAAACATCTTAGAGGCAAGCTGTAATTCATTTTAGCACCTCTGTGACCTTTAGTTTTATACTATATACTAAATAATACTTGATGATGCTGTTAAATAACGAAAATAAATTTATTTTTTGGAAGCTAAGAAAGTAATTTACGTCTCCAGTGGTCAAAGAAAGAATTGTGGCAAGTCTAAGATGAAAAGGGAAAATTAAAAGAAAATGTTTTCTACCACAATGGTGGTACATCAATAAAAATGGTAAATCACCCCAGTGTTGGCACTGATCCATTGTCTGAAATACTTCTCTACTTTTTACAATTAAAATTCGACACATCCTTCAAGACCCGGTGTGAGGCAGCATAGTATTATGTAGTGGCTTTTAATTTGGCTTGAAAAAACAAACAAAAACCAGGACAAACCTCCTGCCTCCTCCACCTTCAAATGGAGCCTATATACACAGAAGCACAAAATGTAAAAATGACTTAGGTTAGCCAAAATATTTTCTCTGTGGGTTTGGGAAGAAAAAGAAATACAGAGAATAGTAAGAAATTTATGTTGTAAAAATTGACACCCTACAATTAATTTTGGGTCACCTGTTGGTCTTCAGTCTTAACGATAATGTTCTGAGGTCAAACTGTATAAAATCTCTTAAATCACTGTTCCTTTCTCCAATTCATCCTCTCTGTATTCCTCATTATTTAATCAAGAATATCATCTCCAAAATCTTTTTATAGCACTAAAGATTAATGTATGCCTTGACACACAGGAGAATTTCAGAATGTATATTTCCTGAATCCATCATCAATCTATCACTACACAGAGATTATGCCATGCCTATAAATAGGACCTGCGGATCTGTGAAATGTCCTCATCACTTTTGTTGATTTTGTCATTCTAATTTGTCTTAACATGTTATCCCTATTAAAATTAAGGTTACCATCCTCTCTATCTCATAATACAGGAAAAGTCTTAAGTAGCATTACTTTTCCTCGCTAGTTTTTCTGAGGTCCACCCACACCTATTTATTTCATCTTCCTATTCTAATTTTACAGAATAGCTTCTGACATTTTAATTTTAAATTTATTCACTATAAGTAGGTGTAAGCACCTGATGTCTTATTTTCTAGTGAATGGTCTGAACATTTACATATTGAAATACTGATAAACTTTTAGTTATCTTTTTTATTATGGTTAGAACATTACATCAATCTTTAAAGTTATGTGTGAAGGTAGATGTTATCTATGACTTTCATTTTAGTATAATAAAGGGCTATAAAAATACTTCTTATAAAAAGGGGCGTGGGTTAAGAACTACTGACTGACTGTGTTATGGCACATGTATATGCTTCTTTACCACACTGTGAAGTCCTTTAACATTGGGACAACATTTTTATACTTGCATTCCCCAAAGAATCTATCAAAACACCCATGCATGTGTATGATGCAAAAACTATAACCACTATTTAGCTCAAAAAGATTGTCTCTTTTATGCCTTTTAGTTAATACATATTTAAGCTAAATCTATCCTGTAGTGTTCTTGGAGAAGCTAGAGCCTGGCTATAGGCCACTATCAAGCCTAAGACTATCATCAGTTAACTTCTACAATGGACACTACTTTTGGAATTGGAATATAAAAAATAGAACGAAAAGAATGTTTACATGTATCTTAAGAATCTGAAAAATAAATATGAGAAAAGATCATGGCTGAGACCGTCTCTTTTTACTCTCTTGGTTCTCTTCTCCATTTTTCTGAACCTCCTTTCTGTATTTCAATCTTATTCACTTTCTGCTATATTAGCTTCCTCACATCAACTTTTCAGGTTTCTAATGCTTTTTTCTGTTGTCTCTACCCTATCTAATCTGTCCAGCGAGTTTTCAATGTCACTATTTTTAAATTATTTACTTATCTGAGTTGGTGTCTCACTCTGTCGCCCAGACTGGAGTACACTGGCATGATCATGACTCACCACAGCCTCAAACTCCTGGGCTCAAGCGATTCTCCCGTCTCACTTCCAGAGAAGGTAGACTACAGGTACATGCCACCATGCCTAGCTAATTTTTGATTTTTTCTTTTGTAGAGATTTGGTCTCACTGTATTTCGCAGGCTGTATGCTTCTAATTCCTAGAGGTTTCTAAAGTAGTTACCTATTGTTTTTTTTGTAGCATCATAACCTTAGGATTTAAAAACATTGTTTAAATATTTTTATTTTAAACATGATTTTATAGCACCTTTTAGAATGTCACTTGAAATTCTTGAAGGTCTAATCCTGTTGTCTTATAATATCTGCTGACCAATTTGCATATAGTTTCTTCCTGTAATTTACAAACTTTGTAATTTATAGATTTGAGTTCATGTTCATGAAGCTGTACCTACAGGAATCTTGTGCAACCCAGGGTTGCGGACACGTCCCTTCAGAGTGAGTTTATATTTGCTTCTGCTGGTTCCATAAAACTATATATTCCAGGACCCCCTTTGAATATTACTTTCTCACCTTGGAGGGGTCATAGATTCCATTGGTAAAATAAATTTCAATTCTACAATCACGCAAACTGCTAGCCCATAAACAGAGATTTGAAAGGAGCCATCCTTCCACTACCAGCGAACTCAGAGAGTGACAGATTTATGCTTCCTTGACATTTCAATGCATTGCTAGGCAATTTGTTTCTAATTTACCACTTTGCTAAGAAGGCAGTCCTTTGAGAGTCTTGGCATTTTATAGGTAATACTACAATAAAAAGTCTCGTTTCTTGTCCACAAGTGGGTGTTACAACTCCCAAGACTTATTACAGAAACCAGCCACATCTGGAAAGCTATGTTTTTACCTTTCTTTTTTACAGTTCTTGCTTTGGTTTTTGATCTCTTGGGACTTCTCTTGTTTTCTTACAAGATGAGCCGTGTATTTCTGAAAGTATGCTTATTAAATCAGCTCTAAGGAGAGGCAGTATATTATAGAAAATGCTGTGCAGAAAAAAAAAATCCTAGCTTCTGGCATAACTTTGTCATACAGTAAATTTGCAACCTAGAACAAATACAGTAACTAAGCATTCTCAGACTTATTCTTCATCTGCAAGATGGGAATACCACCTAAAGATTCTTACAAGATTACCATAAGGTCAAATGAGATAATGAACGTGAAAACTTCACAAACAACAAAAGCACTCTGTAAATACAGGGTGTTTTGAATACTTAACAGAGGTTATTAAGTTCCTTCTCCTGCTCAGCAAAATTATGAACCAGAATTACTCTAATGATTCTTACGATATTCTAAATTTGTATATGAGAAAGAGCCATTTGAGAATCTGGCAAAAGTTAAGAATTTGCTTCCCAGAAAGTCACATATTTATGCCAATATTTGCATATCATTTTAGAGTATTTCTAGGCTCCCTGGAAACAGAGGTGACAATAAATGAATTTTACACTAAGAACCTCAGTTCTAGGTAAGAAAATTCAGGTGGTAGCTACAAACAACCAAGATGAAAAAGATGTACATACAAATGACACTGACTGTTCCAGTTTTTGATCTTTAGAAATCTGTAAAACTCCCCAAACAAAAAACACAGCAATATCTTATATCTTTACTTACCTATCTGGATTTATTAGAGATCGAATAGTAATAGCAGCCTTTAAACGCTGTTTGACATCTAGGTAACTAGAAGGTTCATCAAACATGAAACTAAAAAACAAAGCAAATAATAATTTTGAAAGATATTCTATCTTGCATATTATTTTAAAGTACTGCAATGGTAACAGCTTCTGCTTTAACAAAAACAAAAATCTCCTCAAATACTAATGAAGAATCTAGCTGTAATGATAAAAATTTATGTGTTTTGTTCAGAAGCAGAAGAAAAAAGTTACAAGAAGCAAGATTGTATACCAAGTTTGAGGAGAGCCTAGCATATACATTTATACCTCCTTGTGAAAAATACTATGCTGAAGTAGTATGGAGAGCTTTCCTCTTAATTACCTAAAGTCAGCTGCATTTAAGCAAACAGTCTTTTGGAGGACACTGCACAGAATTCATGGAATACTTTGTGGAGAAGAGCTGCCCTGCACCAGCTGCCAGAGCAGAAATGTGGAAAAATACAAAAGCAGAAAGTGTCTGGGATAAGAGAGACATTAAAGTAGGAGGGAAACTTGCCTTTTCACTCCCTTCTCTCTCACATGGCATGTCATCCTGATCTAGGTTGATTTAGAAGACCTCATGTTTTGCTTTAGGGAGTTAAAAAGCTTGCTGGCCTGGTTGTAGAGTTCTAATTTCTTTCCAAACTATTCCTTTATTAGCAGCATTACAAATAAAAACTCTAAATTAATGATTAGGATAAACAAAAATGGTAAAGTAACCTACATATCAGCTTTCTGTATGCAAACAACAGCGCAAGCAAATCTCTGCAACTCTCCGCCTGAAAGATCTTCAACATTTCGCTCTTTTAGGTGGGTCAAATCTACAAAGAACATAGAGGCATTGTGCTCAATGTCATAAAATTTATTTTACCTCTTCCAGGTGAAACATATGCTGCCTATCATCATTTTGAGTTTCAATGCTGTTATCAGATGAAAAGTATGTAATATAAAAAGTAAATATGATAATTTACTAGTGATTTTTCCCATTTATTTCAGTAGTCCAAAGATGCACACCTTCATGACTTAAGTTCAGGGTCTATTAAAATACATATACACACAAAACACCTACCAAGCTGCTGACATACAATTGCTTGTGTCTTCGTTTCATCCTTTCGATCCAAAATAGATCCCACTGTCCCCTGTCATAATATACCAGAAATAGTTACCACCATTTTCCTTCAATATTAAAAAAAAAAAGTTACAAAGTAAAACAAGTTTACTTTGATATATCTTTTATACTTTCACTAGTACCTATATTACACAAATTCCCTCTAAAAAGCAACTGACCTTTGCAGCCTTGGGAATCTGGTCTACATATTGAGGTTTGATAATGGCTTTTAGGTCATCTTCTAGGATCTTGGTAAAGTAATTTTGTAATTCAGATCCGCGGAAATAAGTCAAAATTTCTTGCCAGTCAGGAGGATCCTATAAAATATATATACAATAATAATTTTATAGCTGTAAAGAAGATGAATGCTATATAAAATATGACTCCTCCAAAAAGAATGCTTCTGGTTTCTAATTTAACTTGAAGATTGGTGATGGATCTGACTTCATATCAAGTCATAACAACTCCTAACAATCTAAGGAAACTTCAAAATTTTCAGCTAAGAAGCAATAACAGATTTTAATACAATCACAAAGGAATGAAAGAGTTTCTCCTATGTAGTTTCTCAGTACTAATTTCACAAATAATCTTGAAAATAAGAACATCAAAAAAAAAAAAATCACACTGTCCCCTCAAAAATTTCATAAAACTGACTCAAGATATTAATTTTTATTAGGTGGTAATACATACATCATACTTTCCAAGGTTTGGCTTCTGCTTTCCTGCTAAAATTTTTAAAGCAGTTGACTTTCCAATACCATTAGTTCCAACTAATCCCAAAACTTCACCTGGACGAGGGATAGGCAACCTGTTATAAGTATACAAAAATAATAAAACAACTCAAGACAGGTAGAGTAGAAAAAGCTACATGATATCAGAATTATGTATTTTAATGCAGCTGCACTTCACACGCATCCATTAATAAGCTAAGAACTACATGCCAGATATTATTGGCTATTAGGAAATAAAAACAGCCAAAATTAATTAACCTAAACTGTTAACTGTTAGAAATGCAACATGACCAACATTACTCAAGTTTTATTTATTCAAGTTTCATTCAAAGTCCATTTTTTTTTTTTTTTTTTGAGTTGGAGTCTCACTCTGTTGCCCAGACTGGAGTGCAGTGGCCGCTCCCGACCACTGCAGCCTTGACCTGCTGGGCTCCGGCGATCCTTCCGCCTCAGCCTTCCAAGTAGCTGGAACTACAGGCGCGCGCTACCACGCCCGGCTAATTTTTGATTTATTGTAGAGATGAGGTTTCGCCAAGTTGCCCAGGCGGGTCTCGAACCCGCGGGCTCAGGCAATCCACTCACCTCAGCCTCCCAAGGCGTGGGATTACAGGCTAAGCCACCGAGCCCGGCCAAAGTCCATTCTTGGGTAACATTTCTTTTTTACATACAAGGCTCAGTTTTAATGTGTAACAAAAATGCTTTGGTACAAAATTACATAGCAGGTGCAACCTCACATTGTCTTTTTTTTCTGGCCTGCCATTTACTTACAAGGAGAGAAGTGCCACATCAACCAGAAATATTCCACTTCATTCTCCCTGCTGCAGTAGGCCCCTTAAAGCTGGCAGGTTGAGAAATATCTTTTTGTTAGTAAAATCTAGACTCTCAGGTTCACAAATATTAAGTAGACAAAAATCTCAAAGAATTAGGGATTTTAAATGATTTAATAATATTTGTCCAAGTTCAAAGGGACATGATCTGTATATTAATGGATAAATGAAATCAAAAGCAAGTTTCCTCAAAAGTTATTCTGGGGATAAAATGTACTAGGAACAACAGTGAATGCTCTCTGTACTGGTTGTATATTAGAATAATCTGGGACTTTTTCAGTGTACTAAGGTCCTGACCCTACATCCAGAGATTATGATGTAACTCATCGGGGTTGAAACTTGGGCATTAGTAGTTTTAAAAAGTCCCCCAAGTAATTCTAATGTTAGCCAAAGTGAATCACTGAAATATACAATATGATGGTGCATGATGCTATAATATTTTACTTCCCTTTAGTGAATGGTTAGTAACAATTATTCCCCATTTCTGCATTTCTCTGAAAATTCCAATGGAATTTTACTCTTAACTTGACAGAAGTAAAGAGGAATATGCTGATGAGAAAATATACCTGTGAAGTTTGAAGGCATTGGCACAGTATCGATGTGTGGTTTCCTTTTCCAAGTTGCTTGGTAAATTGACAATTGATAAGGCGCCAAAAGGGCATTTCTGTTATTTAAAATAAAGAATTAATTTTTTATTAATTTGTAGAAATATACACAACTAAAATAGCGTAAAAATATTTTATGAGCAATCTTCCAAATATGGGAGTTGCACAAAGATGTGAAATACTGTTTCATTCCTTTTATTACTTACTTAAAAATAAAAAGTCCCTTGAAGGCTAGACTCATATTAACTTCAGCTATCCCTCCGTATATGTGGTAGAATGGGTCCAAGACCCCGAGTATACCAAAATCAGCACATACTCAAGTTCCAAAGTTGGCCCCAGGGAACTTGAGTATACAGTCAGTTCTCCCTATGTGCAGGTTTTGCATCCCGCAAATACTGTATTTTCGATCTATGTTTGGTTGAAAAAAAATCCACATATAAGTGGATCCATACAGTTTGAAACTGTGTTGTTCAAGTGTCAACTGTAGCTGGATATTTCTTCCTCTACTTCCTTCAATTATTCCTGTCCTTGTATGCTTCCTTTTTTACCTTGTAAAGTTCTTTAAGGTCATGAATTACATCTTTTTAGGGGCTATTTCCATTCCACCAATAGCTAGCATATGTGTTTTCTTTATGACTTTTATCAATCTCATATAGTAAAGATACTTCAATTCTGAGTAAATTCACATTTTAAAAGAATATTCAAAGAAAAGCTTATTCAAGTAACATCTGACTATCAGGTAAATGCTCAAGGAACAAGAATGGCAAGAACAGGAAGGACATTTAAGAACGGTAATGTGGCTAGAAAAATTTCTCAGAAGTACAAGTCAACTACAGAGGTACATTCAAAGATGCAAACTGATTAGAGACCTGTTTAATAAACACGCTCAATGAGCTCAGAGGACAAATTCAAAGGTCTCTAGGTACAAAGATTTCAGTGAATTTCTATTTTTATAACTTACAAAAACAGAAAATTTTTAAAAAACTTGTTTTCTAATAATTTGCATACTCTAGCCGAAACTATTGATTCTTTATAATGTATATTTTTCTTTCAGTGGAGTTACTGACATTATCCTCTTTCCACCAATGTACATAAATGCTTACAGGTGGCAAGTGATTTAAACATCCTTAAATCTACAAGGAAAAAAATATCTACAATGTTCACATATGATGTGCATTCTAAGATCCTTAGTGTTCAGAAAGTGTATATTACTCCTCTACCTGCAAACTCATTAGTATGTTTTCATGCATATCCAAAATGTAGAAATTCTACTTTCCTATATTCCTACAGTAACAAAGAAAGAAAATAGAATAGATGATACTACATTGTTTAAAACCAGGTTCCCTGCACCTAGGACATAGGCAGGCATCTAAACCAGAGATAAGTATATATGGGCTGGAAGAAATGTCTCCTGCTCATATTTTCAAAACAAGGGAAAATGTTCTCACGTGTCCATAAAAACGTTCTAGATACTTAATCAAGATGTAGAAACCAATATAAAATACACATGTGATTTATATGAACAATTAATAGGGTGGTATTCATGCTCTGGTGAAGATCCTTTTTATAATATCAACAAATAAAACTTCTAAATGAAGAACATTACACACTGGCTCCTAAGTTTCTTTAATGAACTGAAGTTAGAAATTCACTATTCAAAAGTCAACAGGCTGTAACTATTCAATGCAACAAAAACTGACTGAAAATTACACTATTGGGATAAATTCAAGGGAAATGTATAAAAAGTAGAAGAACCACTGAAGGATTAAGCTAAATTAAAAAATTTTTGGCTGTGTGCATTTCTGTTTAAAAGATATAAATTTAAAATTAAATACAGACTTGAAAAAACATGTCACATGACAGTCATTTTTTATATTTACATTTCTAAAACATTCTGGTGACATTCAGGAAAATGTTCTTCTTATAAAAGAATGAAAGAAAGAGAAACAACAATTTTTGTTGGAAATGGCTTCGCAGAGTCGAGTATGGCAAGAATAACTTTTAAAAAGGGTGATTTAATTAATTCCAAAAAGTAACAATATTATCAATATTATAATACCATTTTCCTAAATTTATATTCTCTGTTCATTTGCTTTATACTTTGTCTTTTTAAAAACAGTTATAACATAGCATTCGGAATTTTTAGATTCCATTTTTAGGTTACAAATTTGATCCATAAATAAAATATTACTTACCTTAATACAAATACCACAACCAATACAAAGTGTTTCAGAAATCCATGCTATTTTGCTCTGAGGTGTAACCTCTATGCATAATTTTCCTGGTAAAGAAAAGATATAATTAAGCAATTTTCCCTGATCTTCTAATATAAATAACACTGTTGTTTACGCAATGCAGGTTACAAATTTCCATACAGGAGCTGATTTTCAAAAACAAAAACTGCAAAAAGAAACACATTTGAGATAATGTCTTAAATTATTATTTTGGGGAAGTAGACTTCTGAATTAATTACTTGTATGAATTATACTCTTATTAGGAAATAGGGAGATGACTTTAATATTATTTATTTTATTTACTACTGGGGAAGTAAATATGCAAGTAAAAGTATGGCAGACCCTAAAATACTTTTATTTTTAAGCCAACTAACCTGAATTTTTAAATCATAAAACAAAACATATGTTGGAAATGGTTAAGGAGACCATAAAATGTTAGATCAGCAAAACTCCAAAACAGCAGTTATCTAATATACAGGTAAAAGTAAACATGGTATTAGGGATATTAATAATGGAATTTCAGAATAGCATGGGAGAAAATAATATACAAAAATTACAGTTTCTTTCAAAATTTGCTAAGTCTATACTTCCCTAATACATTTAAAGTAACAATTATTTAAAACAACCCTTAATGACTACCAGCAATTTGTCAACTCTGAATTGTTGGCAATTTATGTAATCTTCAAAATACAGCAAAATGCTACAAACAGTAATTCCTATTAAGCATTTTATTCTTGTTTTTTAAAGATAAAAATACTATCACATACAAAGTTTTTGGCAGCCCTTCTCCCATTAATTACTATAGGATTTTGCAGAATAGCAAGATCAGTAACCTGAACTCTGGTTTGATTTTACATTCAATAAACTTTTAAATATTGATACATTATTCCACAATTTGGTTTTCTTTTTTAAAAAAGTATCATTTAGTCATAAAGTAATAAAAGAAATTTAGAATAAACTAGTTTTCCTTACCTTCATAGTTTAAAGAAACTAACAGGGAACCCAAAGTATATGCTAATGCACCAAACCAGTTTTCTTTCAAAATCTTCAATGATCTACAGAACCACTTACCCATTCTAACCACAGGACAACTCTTTTTGCATTCCTGTCGACATTTCTTAGGTTTACATTTGTCATGGTTGACAATAGCAATTCTTGTTAATTTGTCTGCCATAATAGTAAGAAAGAATATCCAGCTCTTCTATTAAAGAAAAATTAACAAAATTACAGCAAATTCAATGCAACTAGTTAAGAGAAATAATTCATAGGCATGTAAGACAGGAGAACACAAATGATCAGTATATGGGGATGAAATTATCTGGAAAATACAAAAATTTAAAGAATAGTAAAATAATCTAGTAAGGTTGGGAAAATCAAAATTTACACACACAACTTAATCAGAAGACTTTTATACGGAAGAAAAATCATGCCATTTACAATAGTGACAAAAAAGAAAATACCTGTGAATATACACGTACTTTAAGATATATACACAAAACTTTCAAAACACTGAATGACATAAAACACTTGAACAAATATCATGTTCATTTTTACAATAAATAATCAATATCAGAGATTCCAATACTCCCTGAATTTATACACTTAACTCAATCTCATAGGGGAAAAAGAACCAGGGAAACCAAATCTAAAGCTCTTACGGAAAAAGAAAAGAAGAACAGCCAGGAAAACAACAAAAAAAAAGCAAGGAGGATGAGAAAATTTTCACTTGATGGATTAAAAAAAAAGATACAAGGTCTCAATAATTAATATTGATACTAGCGTATAAATACAGACCAATAAAATAAAAAGGCCAGATATGAAAACTAATACATAAGCCATCATGACAGTATGAGAGAAATGGCAAATAATTATTAATGTTGTGACCATCATGCTGATAACTGAAAAAAAGCAAAAACTGTACTTCTCTGGGAACTTGTGATATAGCCAGATGGATTCTATGATAATAGCAATGAAATGGAGACCAAGTAACTTTATGTATATACTGTGCTCACTTTTAAAGCTTTTCTAAGTCTTGACATATGTGTAATTAACCACACAGCATAAAGATGAAAGTGAACTTAAAAATCTTTTACAATATTAAGCTTAGTAATTTAGACATTAATTTCCGTAGAATGGCAATTAAAGTAAATAATTCCAAAAAATGTCTTAATACTCAAGTTTATTCCAACACATCATGAAAAACCTGAAGCCAAGACTATCCATTTATAGATATTCTGTTGGCTTTTTCTTACTGTGATCCTCCATCTTGATTTTTCTTTTTTTTTTTATAATCTGCTTCCCCTTGTAGCCTCCTCAAGTCTTTCTCACACCCATCAATATCACCAGGCTTGAAGGAGGATAAGAGATCTTACCCCTCAATGCTGTCCCAGACTATCATCTCCCCTAACTCTCTAAAAACAGTTTTGCCTCTCAACTGTTTTAGTCATTTGTTGATCACTCCCTTTCATCCTTTGAAGATTGTAGCCTTTGGATAACTTTCACTCTTTTACAATTCCTGTCGTAGTTCTTGGTGATTTCAGTATGTTTACAGATGATCATTCTATTAATAATCTGTCCTTTAATTAACTCTTTCCTCCAACATCTTATCTTCGAACCTACCACAGCCCCTCATTCTTTTGGTCACACTCTAGACTTTATTATTACCGATAATTGCAATCCTTCTATAACCTCAATTTCAAATACCCCATTCCCCAACCATCTTCTCAGCTCACCCCCTACTATATAGGTACCAATCCAACAATCCTTTAATCCCCCCCATTCTCCAAACTTACTCTAAATATTTGATTCTATCACTTTCTTCAGTTCCTTGGTCCTTGGTACCTTTATTTCCCTTCTCACCCAGCTAAAATTCCATTGTCAATCATCTACATCCTGAATCACAATCTTGGTTAAATTCAACTCTTCATCTGCATACATACAGTTTAAAACAGGTGGAGAAAAAAAATCAAGGCCTGCTGACTAGTCTCCTTCTAAATTTGCCATCTCAAATGAATCCTTATGCCAACTAGCAATCACACAATATGTATTTCCACAGCTAAGTCTATTTGTATATGCTAGAAGACATTTCCTACGGAGAATGTTCCAACAATTCTCCCTCTTGTCTTCAACTTCATTAATTATTCTCTACACTGGCTCATTCTCATCAGCATTCAAGCACTCGATTATCATCTTCCATTGCTTTATATCTCCTTCTTTAAGACTACTCGAAAGAGTTGCCCATGCTCAATGTCTCACATTTCTGTCTAGACAGTAACTCCTAAATCCATTCAATGCTCTAGTGCCCATCATTTCATCAAAACAACTTGCATGCCATCACTGTTCTGCACATGACCAATCAGCCAGGTATGGTGGCACACACCTGTAATCCCAGCACTTTGGGAAGCCAAGGACTGCTTGAGCCCAGGAGTTCAAGACCAGCTGGGCAACATAATAAGACCTCATTTCTACAAAAAAATTAGTCGGGCCATGGTGATGTGTTGGGACATGCTTGTATTCCCAGCTACGCTGGAAACTGAGGGCAGACACTTGAGTCCAGGAGGTCTAGGCTGTGGTGAGGCATAATCACACCACTGCCCTCTAGTCTGAACAACAGACTGAGACCCTGATTCAAAAAAACAAACCTGACCAATTTATTGCATCTGACACAAATTATGACTTTTTTCCTATTAGACAATACCTTTCCTAACTTTGTTCTAAGATACAGCACTTACCTAGTTCCCTTCCTACTTTCCTGGTCACTCCTTATCTTCCAGGCTTCTCTATGTTCAATGTGCTCTATCTAAGACTCAGTCATTTTGTCCATCTATTCTTAGTCCCCAAGGTGTTCTATTGTGGCCTTGTGACTTTAAATTCCATGTATATAAGGCAAATCCCCAAATTCCTTTCTATTTCTGTCAAAACACCTCTCCTGAATCCTACAATTGTATATCTGTCTACTCACCTATGCAGTATCTCCTCTTGAAGGCCTAGGAGGCATCTCCCTAACTAAGCTCCTGAAATTCTCAACAAAATTCGCACCTCCAGCTGTCTTGCCCATTTTGTTAAATAGCAGCTCCAGTCTTTCCCACTCCACAACAGCAAACCCTGTTGAATCTACCTCTAAAACACATCCAGAATCTGACCACCTCTCATGACTCTGCTCTAAGCCATCATCACCTCTTACTTGTATTAGTCTAACAGCTTTCTAACAGATTTCTTTGCTTTTATCCTCCCTCTTATACTCTAATCCTCAAAAGTGCATTCTCGATATAGGAACCAGAGTAAGTCTTACAAAAAGTAAGCCAGATCATGTAACTCCTCTACTTAAAATCCTGCAACAGCTTCACTTCTCAGTGTGAGTAAAAACCAAAGTCCTTAAGATAGCCAATGGGGCATGGATCAGCCTGTTAACTTTCTGATATCAGCTCCAACTACTCTACCTCTTGTTCATGTGGCTCCAGTTATACTGGCTCTTTGTTGTTCTAGCACATGCCAGGCATGTCCTTGCTTCAGCATCTTAGCACTTTCTGTTCCTTCTGCCTGTAATGCTATTCCTCCTAGAGAGTTACATGGCTCATTCCTTCAAATCTTTGCCCCTGTTTCTAAGTGAGCCGTCTCTAGCTACACTATCAAAAAAGACATTCAACTGCCTTTTTATCCCTCTTTCTTGCTTTATTTCCCCCTTATCACTTCCTGTACATTTCACATATGTACCTGGTGAATATGAACATATTTATATTATGTGTTTATACATACGCACACACACATGCTTTCTCATGCTACAAACACACAGTTTTTTCCCCTCCCTAAGTAGCATGCACTCCCTCATCATGAGGGCAAGGAGTTTTGTTCATTACAGGGCTGAATCAGTGTAGAAGATCAAACATTCTGCTGAATGAATGAGAACATAAATTTAAATATGGTAAACAATTCTCCTATGGATTACAAAAAACATTCTGCTGAATGAATGAGAACATAAATTTAAATACGGTAAATAATTCTCCTATGGATTACAATGACTTTAGAATCTTGCAAGTTATGCATATTTTATGGTAACTGTTGTCCACTAAATTATATACTAAAACACAAATCATTCAAAAGAAGACTAAATACTCTTGTAAAAAACAAAGAATTATGCTCAAACAGGTTTACTCTACTTTAAAATCTGGTCTAAGTCTTGTAAAGATTAGAAGAGGAAGAAATTAAATTAAAAGACTTGAACTGCTACAAAAAAACTATGATTTTGAAAATGATTATTCACCAACCTATTAAAATAAAACTGGAACCATACATTCTAATTTAAATATTGAATGCCTTTCTACAAATTACCCAGTAAAAGAGCATAATGAGTTCCCCTCAAGAGGATAAATCTTTTATAATGAAATTGCTTAAATTCTATTTCTGTCACACTATTAAAATATTAACTTTTTCAAACTTTTACTTAAAAAACAGCATGTAAGAGACATTAGAAAAAAGAAAAGAAAAGAAAAGAAATGGGAATCTCGCTACACTGCCCAGACTGGATGAAATAGTTATTCTCAAGCAAGAGAGGGCATAAAAGCCTGGAACTAGGGCTCAAAGGATCCTTCTGTTCAGTTTCCCAAACAGCTCGGACTCTGGGTACACCCAGACTGATTTTTTCCAGAAGAAAAACATACCAGAGGTGGTTAATAAACTGATTGATATAAAAAGTGACAAACTGTAACGCATTTAAGAAAAATGAAGGCCAGGCTCGGTGGCTCAACCTGTAATTCCAGCACTTTGGGAAGCAGAGGCGAGTGGATTGCCTGAGTCCACGGGTTCAAGACCACCCCGGGCAACTTGGCGAGACCCTGTGTCTACAATAAATCAAAAAATAGCTGGGTGTGGTATTGTGTGCCTGTAGTTTCAGCTAATTGGAAGGCTGAGGTGGAAGGATCATGGGGCCCAGCAGGTTGACACCGGGGTGGCTGTGAGCGTGCCATGGCACTCCATCCTGGGTGACAGAGTGAAACTCCAACTCAAAAAAAAAAGAAAAATTAATATGGATTGTTTGTAGAACTGCTGTGTAAACACTATAAATTCAATTTGTATATTAGTTTCAAGAACCAGGGGAAGGGGGATTCTCCACTTTTTTTTTTGAGTTGGGGGTCTCACTCTGCTGCCTAGGCTGGAGTACAGTAGCATGATCACAGTTCACTGCAGCCTCGACCTCCTGGGCTCAGGCAATCCTTCCACCTCAGTCTCCTAAATAGCTGAGACAATAGGTATGCACCACCAAGCCCAGCTAATTTCTTAATTTTTTTGAAGAGATTTTGCTACATTGCCTAGGCTGGGCTGGAACTCCTGGGCTCAAGTAGTTCTCCCACCTCAGCCTCCTGCCTCCCAAAATGCTGGGATTACAGGTATGAGCCAGTACACCTGGCTCTACTCATTTTTCAATAGGAAAGACAGGCACAGTAAAGCTTGGAGATTATAGTAACAGACTTCTGGGAACAAAGGGTTTTAAGTTACTTCACATCTGAAGACAAACTGTTCAAAATGGGCAATCAAACAATGACACTCAATGTCATTCTTCCAGCTGAGGAAAAAAGGAAGTGAAAAGCATTTAGTCTAAAACCAACATTACTGTAATGCTGTGTAAAGCATTTTAAAGATGGCTGTTAACTAACGATGCTTATGATCACATGAAATTTTCTAACCTATGCTTATTGTAGGTTATTAGTCTTATAAAACACTTATAATATGTTGGGAGTGGTATACGACTCTGATTTCAAAGTCTTAAATTCAAGACATTCAGAAGAAGCTGGGCACAATGGTTTATGCCTATAATCCCAGCACTTTGGAAGGCAGAGGCAGGAGGATCACTTGAAGCCAGAGTTTGAGACCAGCCTGGGCAATCAAGTGAGATTGTCTCTGCAAAAAAAATATAAATTAACTAACTAACTTAAAAAAACTTACAAGAAACTCTAACTTAATATTACTTTCTCCTTTTCCCCCCCTGGCATTATATTAAATGTTCTTCCTTATTATTTTTTTTTTTAAAGTAGGGAAGAACAAAGTTTTAAACTAAAAAAAAAAAAAAAAGAAACTCCATACCAACCCGAAACACCTTTTGGTTCAAATACAGATAACAGCCTCTGGTTACACCGACAAAGCACTATCGTCAGGTGGATGGTACAGAATGAATATAAAGGACAAAGTAGTGCAACATATATGCCACTATCATAAATAGGTAGCAGTCCCGCGGAAGAGATGGTAAAAATAAAAAGAGTTATTCGGACAGTTTATTCCTTACTCGTGTCGACTTTACTATCAAAAAAGGAGAAAATGCTAACGTATTTCATAGGATGTGGGAATTCAGCTTTGGCTGTCATGCATTCACAACAAATACTAAGTGCCTACAGCGTACGAAGCCCCGAAGAGATAATAGAAATATTTACTGAATAAAGACATCATCCTTGATCTCAAGGAGTTCAAGATACAATAAAGGGGAAAACGGACAAGTCACCAAGGGGAGGAAAGTGCCGAGTGCCATAAAAGCGTCCCCAAAAAGCTATGGGTGTTCAACGGGGAAACCGCTTGGGATAACCCCAGTCACAGACGCGCACACGTCATGCTATGAGAAGAGTCGAGCGACGTCTGACCATCGTTTCTATAAAGCCTGGGAGTGGACGGGGAGTATTCGACTTCATGGCGGCAAGATGCCATGACTCATTCCACCATCACCAGAACGTGGGAGAGAAGCCACGACTTCCCACAGCCCAATCCGCACATGTGACAGTACGTCCGATATCCAGGGCGGGGGACGAGGGGATGCTGCAAGTGCTGAAGCTGCCTTCCTCTCCCGAAGGGTCAGCTCCGGGGTGGGAGCGGGGGCA